CCGCAGGTCATGCCACAGGGCGCTACGGCGCACTTACATAGCTGCAGACTAGCGCCCGGTGGCATCAACCTCCACACGCAAGGACCACAGAGATCCCCCACCCATCGAATAAGCCAGCAGCGCAAAGGCGTATTGCTCAATCGCTCCCGGCCCTTCCCCTGTTCTCGGGGTCAAGAGGGCGGGGGCAGATCTGAGAGCGAGGCAACAAGGCGCACTGAGGAAGCCTGGGACACATGGAGAGCAATTATGTAATTAGGGTACCCTGTATCATGGGAAAAGCTGGGAGTGTGAGAAGCAGTTTGCAGTAATTGAAACGGGGGTGTGGGGTGATTGTAGCATGGATTAACCCAGTGTTAAGTAGGGGCAGCTACAAGCCAAGGTTTTAAGATGCAAAATTATTGTTATACTGCATAGTACATACAGGGTTATTCACGAAAAGTAAGAATACAAGGTGAATATCAAATTTAAAGGGACACTTTAACAACTACAGCTGATTGCATTTGTTCTGGTGAGTAGAATCATTCCCTTCGGGCTTTTTGCTGTAAACACTGTATTTTCAAAGAAAATGCAGTGTTTACATCAGTGGCGTACACATGACCCATGGGGCCCCGGTGCGAAAATTGATCCGTGGGCACCCCCCGCGCTTACTTGGCGCGGGTCGGGGCAGCAACACATGGCGGCAGGCACCTGGTCGCAGGGCTGCGACCCCGCGACCGCGGTATGCACACACACTTAAAGGACCACGACACCCAGATCACATCAGCTCAATGAAGTGGTCTGGGTGCCAGGTCCCTCTAGTTTTAACCCTGCAGCTGAAAACATAGCCGTTTCAGAGAAACGGCTATGTTTCACTGAGGGTTAATCCAGCCTCTGGTGGCTGTCTCATTGACAGCTGCTAGAGGAGCTTCCGCGATAAGACACTGAACGTCCTTAGGAAAGCATTGAGTAATGCTTTCCTATGGGCTATGGGCGGTTTAAATGCGCGCCCGCCTCTTGCCGTGCATGTGCATTCGGAGCCGAGAGGCGGAGGGATCCCCAGCGCCAAGGGAGTCCGACGCTGGAGAAAGGTAAATGCTGAAGAGACACACACTCTCACGAACAGACGCATACACACTAGCTAACAGACACACACTCAGCGACAGACATACATACACACTCACTTACAAAACATACACTTTCATTGACACTCACTGACAGACATCAAACACACTCAGTAACAGATACACACCCAATAACAGACACACACACAAACACACACACACACTAATTTTTTTTAAATTTAATCCCCCCAGCCTCCTTACCTTTTGGAGTGCTGTAGGGATTCCCTGGGGTCCAGTGGTGCCGCTGGGAGGGCAGGCGGGCTGGGTGGCCGGCGCGCAAGTGAGCACTCTCCCCTCTGTGCTTCCTCTTCAGCTCCCTCGCGCGCCGCATAGGGATGCAGGCGCCGGAAGATGACGTCACAGAGGGGAGAATGCTCCCTCGCGCGCCGGCCGCCCGGGGTCAGCAGGGCCAGCCTCAGGGGGGGACCTGAGGTGGCCACCTCCTGGGCCCCCCAGGAGAAGAGGCTGGCCCTGTGGGTACATACCGGGTCACAGGGGCGGCCGGACCCCCTGGTGGGCCAGGCCCGGTCGCAGCCGCGACCCTGGTATGTACGCCACTGGTTTACATTACAGCCTAGGAATAACTCCAGTGACCACGCCTCAAATGGCTGCTAGAGGTGCTTCTTGGGGCAGTGCTGCACAGTGTGACTGATATTCAGTGTCTCCACCCTCTGCATGCAGACACTGAACTTTCCTCATAGATACATTGAATCAATGCATTTCTATGAGGAGACGCTGATTGGCCAGGGCTGTGTTTGGCTTGTGCTGGCTCTGCCTCCTTGACAGTACCAGCCAATCCAATGAAAGCATTTCACAGAATCACTTCTGATGTCAGCCAAGCAGGCAGATCGGGGCAGAGCCATCAGCAGCAGACTGGAATAAAAGTACGATTTTACAATATTTAGGAGGGGCAAGGAAGGGCCAGATGTTTTTAACACTATAGGGTAAGGAATACATGCATGTGTTTCTGACCCTTTAGTGTTCCTTTGATACCCAAACAGCAGATCTGGAAGTATAGCCGAATTAGAGAATGTTTCCAGTTCGGATGTTTTGGCCTTAAATTTGAAATTAACTTTCAATTTACTTAGGGTTTTCACCAAAGTGAGAGTTCTGATCGTCAGTAAAAAAAATAAAAAAATAAAAATTTGTGAGTGGGCTGTTTGAAGAACATATTTTCTTCATACACTGTGGGTTATGTAAATGTTAGGTCATTCTGTTTCTTTAACCCCTTAAGGACACATGAAATGTGTGACATGTCATGATTCCCTTTTATTCCAGAAGTTTGGTCCTTAAGGGGTTATAGCAAAGTACAAAAGAAAGTAAAATAAATCATTGATGACAAAAGTAATCCTTTGCTTGTATTGATTAGCGGTTTCTTGCAAGGGCAGTGCTGCTGTTTCAAACTACTTACATCGCTATTTTCTAAAGATTTCAAAAGTGAATTCAAAAATAAATGTAAATATTTTAGGCCAAAAATCGTTTAACTTGAAAATATAGCCAGCGTGGGTAATTTTTCCAAAGCTGGTGTTTATACCTAATATTTGAATTTATGACTATTTACACTTTAGTAAATAATCCTGTTATTCAGGGCAGTAATCTGAGTCCAGTGAATAAGGGCACACTAAAGTGACATTGAGATCCATTTTATAGTTCCAAAGTACTTTAGGCTATGCTTTCATAACTAAAGGGGCACTCCAGTGCCCAAATAACCCCAAAAAATAGAAATCACTATTTTGTAGATATTCCCAAAATAAAAACTTGTATGCATTTAATTATCTATTTTTTTCATTGGGGATATTATCTAAAGATAGCTCTGTGGCTGTCCAATCACAGACTTCTCAATGCAGCTCAATGAGAAGTATTTGCAAGGCAGATGCTCTGGGCAATTGCTGCCTCTTTGGTTTAGCTCCAATGAGTTAATCAAACCAGGACGTAACAGGACTGGTTGTCTGCTTGAAAGCCAAGGAGGTGTAACCAGGTTAAATAATAAAAAAGCTAAATTCTACTAAAATCTGCACGGACGGGGGGCGGGGCCTGACCAGCAAGGCAGCCAGACGTGCTGAAAGTGAGCTCCTCACAAAAATCTTGTAATCCAAACCTTTACAGTGGGATTATTGCCCCCAAATGACCACCAAACAGTTCATTATCTGTTCCAGTATGCAGGGGAGCTTTCTTGTGCGAGTCTGGAGCCTCTATTATCGACCTGCGGCTCGAAATTAAATTTGGGCCTACAAGCTTGAGGCGGGCCTTGAGGAGGGGAAGCAGCCATTCTCCCTCCTGGACCTTCTGCAATTACTGAAGAGGTTGCCCCGTTCACCCCCCCCTTTGGACCGGTGGGGGTTATCCCGGTCCCCACCAGGGAAAAAGCAACAGCGGACCTTGTGGCGATACAGCTAAAAGCTATTGGGACAGAGCACGACTGCATGGTGCTGTTAAAATGGCCGCCACAACAACCACACACTCAGCAAGCAGCTGGGAAGCCAAATTTACTGCTACCTTTGACGCGATCTGCGCAGCATTTTGGAGCCGACTGGAGGCCCGTCAAGCAGAACGGATACTCACCGTACCCTTGGTACCCACGGTACCCCCTGGGCCAGGAGTCACAATGGGCGCGGTGCCCGTCAAGCAGCCACACAAGAGGGAAACTGCCTGTGGTATGGAGAATCCCCAGGACGTCAACCCTTTCAAGGGAGCTGGAGGGGCTGGTGGTTCCCAGGCACCGGCTCGTCGGCCGACCCGGGTTCGGCGGGCGGAGCGGATGATGGAACGCCGCTCGATTGATCCATACAAAAATACAGTTCTTCATGCACCCGAGGTCCTCTTGACACAGAGGGGATGCTGGAGCAGAAACACCAAGCAAACCATGGAGAAGTGCAGAATTGGCTCCCAGAAGAAGCCTGCTTGTGGCATCGGCTAAGTAGATGAACTGCCTTACCATAAGCAAATAATCTGCAAGTGCCCCACACTAGCCAAGAATGTTATTCTGTTTATTCTGTTTTTTTTTTTTGTCTGTGATTCCTGTCACATGCTTCTCAATTTGCCACAGGCATTTAGTTGTAACGACATTATATTAAAGAGTCCCAGTGGCCAACACACTAATTTTAACACCTTTCCCATAACAACCTGGTGGATCTTCTCATGTGTTTCTCCTCATGCGTTTTTAGTTAAAAAATTCATATGAAGCCTGCAATATCCAAGTCTGTCATTAGTCATGTTTTTTCTATTACTTTACATACCATAAAATGTGAAAGTCTTTTCACATGTCAGGTGGCAACTATGCGACAGTAGCTACAGCGTTTACTTCCATTTGACATGTAATAGTAAGTTTGAATACGTAACTTAACTTGTGAGAAAAAAAAAAAAAAGTGCAGTTATCAATTACATGCCATACTAATCTGTTTATTGAAATGTTTATGTCTGCCGTTGTGACATAGCAAGCATGATTGTTAATCTTTTTGCACAACAAAAATAAAGAATTTAAAAAAAAAAAAAAAAAAAATCTGCACGGACACATTGTTCACATGCTTTTCAGCATTCCCTTTTACAGAATATTACGATTATCTAAATATATAAAGTCATAATATTGTTAAACAGATCGGCACACACCAGTCAAGCCATAAGACTTGCTTTTCCCAGAGAAATCTCAAATGTGCAGGGATGTTACTACTGCAATGAATTCTGGGTGGGCATATGCAAATGAGTTCAACAAAACCACCTTTTTGCCTCATTATTCAACTTTATACATGGATTCCTTGAAGTTAATGTCTGCTGTGTACAGCAGCTTTGAAACACCTCAGGAAGAGGTGCAACCACTCATGTATTGTATATCTGTGAGTAAAGATTGGCTTAGTAAACGTTATAGTCTTGCCACGCACAGGAACAGAAACAGAAACACACATGTATAGGAAATTCTTTTATTTGACCAAAGGAAGAAAACCTTTTTTTTTTGTTTAAAACACAGCACAGTTTGCAGGGTGTATATAAGGGTCAACCATATAGGTGAAAGAAGGGGTATGCAGAAAGTAGTGTGTATGAATAAAAGGGTAATATTGCACACTGGGAAGCTTGCATTTCCTATATAATCACATTTGAGGTTTGAGAATTGGGTTATTTTTAGTGGAGGGCAGCCGTTTTGATTCCTAGAATAATAGATACGATTTGTTGGTTGATATTAGTGTCTAAAGTGGGCAGCGTTCATATAATCGTATAAACACAAATATTTACAAATGCATTCATTAGATACACATTCCATCAGAAACTGTATGCTTTAATCAACATTATACATTATAAACTTTATGTACATTGGGAAATCGGATCAATCGCAACCCATAAAAAGGTACTCTTGATGACAGCCGCATATTGCAAGCTCTCCATGAAATTATTATTTTATTTATGTTTTAACATGAGGGTGTTTTCCAAAAACACGCTTTTCAAAAAAAAATAAAAAAATTGGTAACACATGTTAAGATGCAATTTCTGTACTGTCAGTTACGGATTTTGTAAAAAAAAAATAAATAATAAAAATAAAAATAAACACAACCTCTAAATCACTCTTCATAACAGATTTAGCATTCTAACCTGTATAAAGTAACCGGGATAGGTACGCTTTTTTGGAAGAGCAGATTGAAGAAATAAAATTGATTCTTATGGGATAAAAATATATAACATGCTTGAAAAGAACTGTAAGGGGGCGGGGGAATCCGTAACAATACCTTTATCACAAAAATTGACATTAGGGTAAATTACACACCAAATTTGTTTAAAAATACATTGTGCCAGCAAATGTATACATTATACAAAATTAACCCTTTATGACAGACTCCTCCTCCTGTTTGCCCTTAAAATTGACCCTGGTTACGGCATAATGGCCCTTTTGCCAGTTCATTTAACGAAGTGGATAAGGAGAGGCTAATAAACACTGCATATGCCATATGATGCAGTTGCCTCGCCTGTTCCCAGGATGCACAGCTCCTAATTTCCCACAGTTCTGTTAGTAAATTGCTGTCACAGATAACTGCTATGCCGAGAAACGTGTTTTTTAAAATAACAAGTAGCATTAACAAAGAAGAGGAGGTGCTCTGTTTAAAAGTGTCAAGCAATACAAACTTTATACACTTGCTCACACATCGTAAAACAAACCCCCCCAAAAAATAAGCATTTTTAAAGGTCATCGATGTCACTTTCAGTGATTTTTAAAGTAAATAAGTGCAGCAGCATGTATTTTAATTAGGTCTGTATATGTGTGAGTACAACTCAGTATTACAGTGTGTTACCTGATTCAAAATGGCCGCCTTCTATCTCAGGCCTGGAGTCCATAGGCCCCATACTGATCTTAAATAGAAGAAAAACACATCCCAAAGCCTTAAACCTGTGGGAGGTGAAGCAGGGGATTATATATATATATTAGATCAACCATACATACCCTCAGCAGAAGGGGACACATGGAAATTACTGCTAAACTAGTAACTCTATAAAGTTTCCTTCGCAATACCTACACACATATCAAGTGCACATTGAATGTAGTGATTTTCTGACAGATAGGGTAAGGTAAGCCATACTCCTATAATAAGTGCAGGTGGATATAGGAGCACCAGAGAAAAAGAAAGTATTCAGATTTATTTATTTTTTTGGTCAATCTGAGGGGCTGATGCGGTCTATGCCTTGAAATGTGTAGTTAAAGAATAATGCCTGATTCAAGGAGCAGGTTCTAGAACAGCCAAGACTGTAATGTATCATTGGACCCCTAAAAAAACCCTTCCCTAATGGAAAAATATAGACCACCTTACCGTTGGAGACACCTCCAACATACGTTCTAGGCTCTTCCAGAAATCCTGTATTATTGAGGGTGGTCTTACCATTTGGATCTGGCCCCATAACCACAAACCATGGGTCATTCAGACCAATAAATATTTTCTGCCCCTATATGGATAAACCCCTATATAACCCTAGCATTTTCTGGCCATACAGCATGTAGTGAATATTTTTATTTTATTTTTGTAGGACAAATCTAGCAACCCATGTCACCCCCTGGGGAAGAACACAGACTTGCTTTATAGGACAAGCAGTGTAGTGAATACTATACGGTCAGACCCATTAATCGTCTATAGCAATGCAAGCCAGCAGGTATCTCTCCAGCTGTCAAGCTATGTTTCCCATGATGCTTTGTATGCCTACTTCCACAACAGCTTTGGAGCTATGGGGCAGCTATCACTGCTACAGAGGTAGAACATTACAAATAAGATGCATATATTATATTACGTAAACCCTATATCAAGGTACTGCAGATAATTAGAGCTTTAACATGGTGGCAATAAGCAGTGTAGACAAAGTTCAAGGGTCCAACTTAAGTCCAGAACAGAACAAAAACAAAACAAATCTCCTAAAGCGGGTAACAGTCCAGTGTGAGGGGTAGATCCAGCTTTGTGTCACTTTCAGCACAGTGGAAAATGTCATCATCTCTCTGGAAAATCCCAAAGTAGTGGAACCCAAGTGTTCTTTAATGCGATTCTTAATTTACCTTGTGCAAATCCTATTGTGAATAGGAATTCCATGCGCCTTTATTGCCATCACGTGGAGGTGGGCTCAGGATCGCCTGAAAAGTCTTGTTGTGGAAACCCGTGTTTTACGATCCTTAAAAGGCCCCATTCTTTAAGGCGAGATAAAAAGGGGTTTCAGAAGGATCCAGGAAATTTAGAAGATGTAGCCCCCACCCCCCCCAAAGAGCAGGAAGAATTCACCCTACAAATTGGAGAAAGGAGAACAGATATAATGCATTGATACAAGCAGTAAAGTGGGGCTTATTGAATACATTGGCAACTGAAGAATATGGCAAGTTTTAAAGCAAAACAACCAAGCCACAAAAATGGTCAGATACGTTTATCATCTCAGATATGTTGATGCTTTGTCCTGCAAGGAGTCTGACCAAGTGCTTTCCAGCACAAAACAGACACCGATTCCACCATCCTTAGTACCCCTATTGCGGATAGCTTTTTCTCTATGATTGACAAATTAAAGGCACTTCTGTTTGTAACCCTTCTTTGGGTTGAGGATTTATTTCTGGATTGCCACATATGGGAACTGGCTACAACCCACATGAAGGAAACCTCACGCCAGCCTTCTCGATACAATGAGCATTCATGTCCTAAGGTAGGATGAATATATTACACATTCACATTCTTTGGCTCAACTTATCCATAAAAAACAAAACAAAAAAAAACACTGTTTATGCATAGTAGTGAAGCCATGAAATAACATCAGGATACCAACTTCTATAATAGATCACTGTGAAGGGACACAAAATAATAAAATAAAATCAGGTCTAGATTTCGTTCTCTAATGTTCCCACCATTACGAACACTTTCTAAATGCCTCCCCCAGTCTCTAGACTGATGGTTTCCCTTTCAGCAAATACCAACAAGCATTTCTTGAATTCCATCTTGCTTTCGTCTAACATTTACATGTACTTATGTGGTGTTTTATATAAATATCTAGATAAATGGACCACAGGTACATTGCACTGATTTGTAGCCTGCCATGCATTAAGAATCATAATGGAATGCACAGTTTGGCAGCTACAGAAGTCCACTCTAAACCAGTACTAATGTTTCGGTTTGTTTTTTTGTGGGTTTTTTTTTTTTGCATCTGTCGAAATAGTCAGCTTTTCACACAGTAACTAAAAGTATTAATTTTACCCATTTAAAGTGCAAAACTCACCATTTAGGTGGCTTGCCCCCCCTCATCCCCCTTAAAACTTCATAAAAACACCTTATTTCCAGGGCCGGGCAAGTCTTCCGGTGCTGGCCCTGCCCCCTTGGTGACATCAGAATTGCCCATGGAGAAAGCACTGGATTAGCTAAAATTCAGCAAGGGGGCGTGGCCAAACACTGTTTTGGCCAATCAGCACCTCTTCGTAGAGATGCATTGATTCAATACATCTCTATGAGGAAAATTCAGTGTCCCCCCCCCATGCAGAGCGTGGGGACGCTGAACAGCAGTGCTGCCTACTGTGCAGCACTGAGCCAGGAAGCACCTCCAGTGGCCATCTGAGGAGTCCACTTGGAAGTGTCCATAGAAGCAATGTAAACACTGCCATGTCTCTGAAAAAGCAGTGTTTGCATGAAAATGCCTGAAGGCAAGGGTTATACTCATCAGAACAACTACATTAAGCTGTAGTTGTTCTGGTGACTATAGTGTCCCTTTAATGTTGCATTACGGTTTTATTCTACATTAACACACCATGTGGGTAGTGCTGGAGGTGCAGGCTTAGTTCTCAAAAATATTTGAAACTTTTTTTTTTTACATTCTGATTTTTTATTTTACTATATATAAACATCTCTTCTTATTTTACTTTACAATCATAGCACATCATGAATTCCTCAGTTTTCCTGGCACTGCAGAATCCTGCAGCGCCCCCCTCACTCCCACCCCACATCCCATGTTGCTGAAGGAGTTAAAACCCCTTCAGTGACTTACCCGAATCCAGCGCCGATGTTCCTCGGCGCTGGGTTAGGCTATGCCCACGCTCCTCCACACCGATGTGGGAGACGTAATGTGCATGCCCCATGTGCGCATTAGACCACTACATAGGAAAGCACTATTCAATGCTTTCTTATGAGGATTCCAGCAACACTGGAGGTCCTCATGCATAGCGTGAGGACGTCCAGCGTCATTTAAAACACTTTTCGGTTTTTAAGAACTCAGAAGTTCCTCTTGTGGCTGTGGATAGTGGCTGTCTAAGGAGGACTTAGCCCTGCAATATAATTATTGCAGAATTACACTTGCAGGGTTAAGGGTGATGGGAGTTGGCACCAAGACCACTCCAATGGGCAGAAGTGGTCTGGGTGCCTGGAGTGTCCCTTTATTCACTGATCCAAAATAGTTTAACACTGAATGGAGGGACAGTGACATGGAACTCCAGGTAATATAACCATTCAATGAGATCATTATAGTGCCTACAGTGTCCCTTTAAATTATTTGTGGTCAGTTTTATGGAAGGTGCAATGGAAGTCCAGTTAAATGCATGGGGAAGGCAAAGGGAGTTGTAGTTTGGAAACAAGTGGAGTTCTACCTGTTGGTTAGCCTGTTTATTGGTGATACCACTAGTGATTCCATAGGGAAAACCAAAACAACAAAAAGCATGCAGATTAATAATAACCATATAATAACCATTAAAAGGACACTGTAGCATTAATACAAACCTGTTAGTAAAAAGTAAAAAAAATAAAAATAAAAATAAAAAAAAATATATATATATTAATAAAAAAATGTTTTACTCATCTTTCTTCCCAGTGTCCAGATCCAGTCCCTCTAATAGTCTAATCCAATACTCTTCATGGAGTCAGCACTGCACTCCTACAATCTAATGGAGTTTAGCAGTGAGAACTCTGTTTCTGTTTTCACAGTGAAAGCGCCCTTGGTGTGTCAGAAAAACAGCCACTAGAGGGAGTATTTAAACGTGCAATGTAAGCATTGTGTTTCTACTAAACAGTACTGTTTTACATTGCAGGGTTAAAACATTCAGTTGAAGTAGTCTGGGTGCATTTGGTGGATGAGGAAACCAATAACATTAAATATAACCGTTTAGTAGACATAACTCCAAAAAGATATGCATGTAATTTGTTTTTCTCTTCTCTGGGATATGCTTAATCTTGGCTTGCAATAGCTACAGATCTAGTATCTGCAGCTATTGCAAGTCTTTCCCTCTTTCCACTGCATAGACTTTCTGTAGCTGTCCAATCACAGACTTCCTAATTAGCTGCATTACAGCTCGTTGAGAAATCTTTGCAAGGCAGGTGTTTAATGAATTGTTGGTCTCCTTTGTTTAGCTCCATTGAGCTAAACAACCAGGAAATAACAGGACCATCTGCTGATTGACAGCAGGAGAGGTGTAATAAGGTTGATGTAGAATATTTCTATTGCCTATTTCTATTGAAATCTGCACTTTTAAAAAAAAAAATTGAAAGGCTCTGTCTTTATTCTTTTTATAGCTTAGTGTGCAAGAGCGTCCTGGCTATCACTGGCACTACAGATTTTTGTGAATAACATTTCCCTATTTGCTTTTTCCACTCAGGCTTCATGCCACCAGCGGTATAGTAAATATGCCTGTTTTACAGGGGAATTTAGTAGGGTTAGATGATCCGTACCTTACAGTGATACAAAGTTTAGAGACGGGTCTGGTTCCCTAGAAGCATCCTGTAGCAAAGCCTCCAATTCGGTTTCACTAAGCGTCACATGGGAATCTGTAAGGAAATTAAAGTTAGACAGGCTCATCTACACTAATATCAAAAGTAATATAGTTATACCAAGAATGCCACAGCACCAAACATATTTGGGTTGAATGAATTGCAGATTGTGTCAGAGCGGAGAAATAGCCCACCAGGGCTGATCATAGTGTAGGGAAACAATCCTGTCTGACCCAATGCATAAACAACAAAAGAACTGCAGGATGTGATCGGAAATTAAGAATGACAGCTTCCACAAGTGAAATAGAGGCAAAAAATATGAATAGGGATGAAAAAGAAATTGTTATTGTTATGCAGTGAGAAAGAAAAAAAAAAAAAAGTGGTGCATAAGGATAAATTTGGAGTCAGATCCTGGCACATTGAGTAACACATACCAGACCCAGCCTTGCCATCACAGCAATGTGTTGCCTGTACCAAATCCGCCTCAAGTCCATTGGTGAGTGCACGGATACCTTTGGGGAGCATCCTTACTCCCCGAGTTTCAGGACCCTCTCCCCTAACCCCTTCAGTTGCATTTGGATTCTCCACACGTGTCACCAAGAACACCTTGTGACCTCTGCCAGGGCTAGAAACTGCCACTTGTCCTGGGGTGCCTTGGGGTTGAGAACTTGTTGGCTTGTTTTCCCTCCTTTCCACCTGGTCCTCCTCCTCCTCTGTATCAGAGTCTGACTCATCCCTCTGAGGATCTGTGGCAGTTGTGATCTCTCCATCTTCTTGCTTCTCAGGAGATGATGTGCTGTCCTCCATGGCAGTGATAGAATCCTCGGGGGCAGTGATAGAATCCTCAGGGGCAGTGACGGAACCTTCAGCGGCAGTGACGGAATCCTCAGGGTTAGGATCAGGATCTTCAGAGGCAGGACAAGCAATTTCCACCATAGAAGCAGATTGTTGGAGACGCTCCTCCTTTTCCTTCACCAACACAAAGTTTCGTCGGCAGCCGTTTTGTATCTCTGTTAAAAGAGCCTTCTGTGTTTCAATGAAGCTCTTAACCTGGGGGGAGGGGGAAGGAGAGAATAAAGATAAAATGTAAACGAAGGTGAAGGAAATACAAAGAAGCATGTCTCACAGACCGGATAGGAATATCTAGGGCAGGGGTGTCCAAAAGGTAGATCCCCAGATGTATTTGTCATGCTAAAGGCATGTAAAGCAAGATGGGTGTTCAATTTTTACAACATCTGGGGATCCACCTTCTGGGCACCCCTGATCTAGGGCATGCTCAGAGATGGAGGAGAGCTTTTTAACAAAATGTTAAACTCACAGTCTCCTTTTTGGGTTCGCGGTCCAGGTCCAACCTTAGTAAAGACTGGTTGACACGGAGTGCAAGAGACAGCGCCATTAGACCTCCTGTTTTAATTTCGTTCTCTCTAAGGTCCAGACGTAGGAGTCTGGGAGACTCGGCTACGAACTCTGCAACAGCTACTGCCCCTGTAGGTGGCAAGATTGGAAAAGGAAGAAGTGAAAAAAACAAAAACACTTAAATACTGAAAGGACACTAAACTCATGAGCTGTAGGTGCTATAATGCCACTTAATACAGTGATAATGAATAAAAACTATTTTTTCCAACAATTGTCATATGCATTACCTTCACAGGTGAGTTTGGCAGATGCCAACCCAAGGCGCAGCACACTGCGATTCCCAATCAACCCATTCTTAAGATGACGTACACCTTCATTACCAATTGCATTGTGGCCAAGATTCAGGGTCTCTAAAGTTTGAGTGTGAGGCTGAGAGCAAAAGAGAAAGATTGAGTTAAAAAGAAAATGTTGAAACACGAGAGAGAGAGAGAGAGAGAGAGAGAGAGAGAGAGAGAGAGGGAGAAGAGAATAAATAATCTATGTGTGGTGCTTGGAGACAAAAATTAAATAGTAATAAAAAAAAAAAAAAGAAAGAAAAAGTAGGGGCAAGTTTACAAACCGTTTCTTTAACCTCCCACCCCCACTCTCTTCAGCCCTCAAGACGGATGTCAGCCTCACCAGGCACATGCTCATGTACACCATGCCAGTGTGGGTCAGCTGATTGTTCCAGAGAACCAGGGTGACCAGGCCTTGTCGCTGCTCCTTCAGTCCCTCACAGATGTACGCCAGACCTGGGAGTAGGTGGAAAAGGGATGATGGAGTGTAGACATCACCAAGAACATCCTAAGCATCTGGCACGGCGATGCACCACATTAGTTTGGTGGGAGCATCTTACCAGATGGCAAAGATAATGCAGGAGGAAAATGTCTACAGGCACAGGTTTCGATCCACATGCCATGTTAGAGTTTGGACTCCAAGATACACAGTTTTAAAGAGTTTATTATTATCCTGCATTTTGGGATTATTCCCTTTTCTCAGTTTCTGAATGGAGTCAGTGAATTTACTACAAGAGGGGTTATATCTCATGACCCAATACAACACTTGGAATAACCATACAGCATTCTACATCAATTATCGCACAGAAAAGTATAAACCTAGATGAAATGTAGATGAAAAAAAATAACACGTTGCTTTAAAATTGCAAGAGGTTCTGAAAACCAAAATCAGATTTCTAAGTTTAAAAATGCCTAACCTATCTCCAATATAATATGCTAAATAAACAAGGCACCGCTAGTCAATGTAGATTGCCCATTTTTACACTGTTCTTTTCAACAACGAAAATGTTAGATTTCAGTCATATGACTGCTATACACAGTTTCCCCAAGTTGATTGTGGTTTGTTATAGGCCTGCTGGGGAGGAAGGGGGGGGGGGGTCATTTTTAGTTTAATAATAGACTCATAAATCACACAATGGCTTGGCAATAGAAACAGGACACGTCACACTTACCAGAGTCCATAATATGGTTGTTCCGCAAGTCCAGGATTTGTATACAGCTGTTAAATTTTAGGACATTTCCCAACTGAGCTGAATCCTGGAGATTGTTGAGACGATTATCCGCGAGGTATAGCTCCTTTAATACTATGTTCATCTTTAGGGCAGTAGCTAAACCAAGAGAGTGGCATGGATGAAGCAGGTAGACATGTCAAGGAGTGGACTAAAGATTAATGAATGTGTTTACAAGACTGGAGAGAGAACACATCTTACAACTTAAACTATATACTTGTAATCTGAGCTATGACCACATTATTGATCGCTTGCGGCAGTGATAGAATAGAGTGATAGAAGACACAGACCAGTAAAAACATGGAAGAATGACAGATGCCTGCTTTGGATACAAGTTAAACTGACACCATGGTACCTGAATGCTATGGCAAGATATCTCAAACTGATGATTTTTTAGGTTGTAAGTTTTTAATTCTAAAACAGCAGATTGTCTAATTGTTTGGAACTTTCGATTGACCTTCACAGCTACGACAGACAAGCTATAATATACACTGTGCAATTGGATATATCACAGGCTTCTTAAAAGTATACCTGTCATAGTAGCACAACTTGAATTTAAAATGAATTAGGGTAAAATATTATTGATACGTTGTGCTACAAAAGGTATAGTCTTATTGTATGGTCGCTTTTCTCACCGTCCTCTCAGTTTTCAGCATAGAGAACTTTGACAGAAGGTATACCCAATCTTTATCATGTGACTATCACTAACCTAATAACATCAAGGGTCTCCCAGACAGGCTGGAGTTCTCGAGGTGTAGCACTGTTAAGCTGCTGCTGATGCGGAGTGCACGGGCCACAAATGGAGCTGAATGATCCAGTAAGGGAGTATTGCGAGCATCCAGGTACTGTAGGCAGTTGGTCTGCATGAGGAACAGAAGTAGAACATTTTTATCAAAGTAATACTACCAAAACACAACGTAACTAACTGCAAGGGGATTAAGGGCACTATTCACACTTAAAGCGATCTTACCTTACGCATCATATGAGCAGCCGCCTGCCAACCACGGGTGCCAATGTGCTTGTTAAAGGAAATGTTGAGGTGTGTTGCCGACTCATAGTACTCAATCATATCAAACAATGCGGAGGCTCCCTGTGGAGGATTTATAGGATTAATGGGTGACTATTTATAAAGGATAATGAATATGAATCCTTTTGCCAAGATGCCCTTCCTAAGCACTCATGGTACAGTCCAAAATTGCCCCTTAGGAGTACAGAGCCCCCTTGCTTATGATAAATTAACCTTCTGTCTACAAAAGATAGGTGTCATACATCTTGAGTACAGGGGCTGTAGTGTAGGGTGGATAGTGGCCAGCGAGATGCTCCATCAGAGCAGTTCCCGGTGGCCGTTGACGTGCTCTGCCCACCACTAACAGTCTGATTTTTTTATTTTTTATGTTTCTATTAAGCATGCGTGGAATATGCATAACGCTATCCTAACTATAAGATAAGGTCAGGGACTAATGAAAGTATTTAAAAAAAAATTGGGCAGACTAGATGGGCCGAATGGTTCTTATCTGCCGTCAAATTCTATGTTTCTGTCTGTTGTGGAAACCTATGAAGATCCTCACCCAAGAGAATGATGAAGGGAGCTGTGGCCAAATACTATCTGGATGGGCATGAGCTACACAATTTTATGTCCTGTACAAAACATGCAGTGCGTTACTATAGACCAAGCAGCGGCCCACAGTGAATATCTTTACGGCCCGCCTGCCCTGGGGCCGCTTTGTGCAGTGGTCACGACCAGCCGCAAGATAGGAAAGATCTTTTTTGTCTGATTCTTGTCTTTTTTCCCATGGCGATTGCGTGCTCTTGCGGCCGCAATAGTGCAGAGAGGCCACTCCCCCTTCCCTCTTGCTTGCAGTGCCAGAGGAGCGCCTGGCCTGCTTGAGCAGAGAAGAGCTGGAGCTGGACGGGAGCTCATCTGAAGGTAGGAAAATAGGGGTTTGGGCGACTTTTCTGTGTAGTGTGTTAAATTGGGGAGGGAGGGTGCAGTGTATTAATTTGAGGGAGGGAATGTGCAGTGTATTAATTTGGGGGAGGGAGGGTGCAGTGTATTCATCTGGGGGAGGGTGCAGTGTATTCATCTGGGGGAGGGTGCAGTGTATTCATCTGGGGGAGGGTGCAGTGTATTCATCTGGGGGAGGGTGCAGTGTATTCATTTAAAGAGAGAGGTGGCAGTGTATTAAATTGGTGGAGGGGACCAGTGTATTAAATTGGGAGAGATAGTGGGCAGTGTATTAGAGTGGTGGGGGGAGGGAGGGCAGCGTATTCAATTAGAAAAGAGGACTGAGAGGCAGTGTATTAGATTACGGGGCAGTCTATTAGATCTGGGTGGAGGAGTGGGCAATGTAGAGTGGAGGGAGGGGACAGTGTATTGGATTTGTGGGCAGAGTATTAGAATGGGGGAAGGGGCAGTGTGTTAGATTGGGTCTGCATGGAGATGCTGATTGGCTGTGCAGCTTTTTGCCACACATGCACAATAGCCTTTCAAATGCTTTCCGATGGGAAAGCATTGGATTGGCAGAGATCATCAAGTTTGATGATCTACGCAAAAGTGAAGAATACACTCATAGGACTTCAAAAATCAACAAGATAACGTAATTTGTTTTTTTACAGCTGTGCAACAGCATACATTCACCATTTTAGTCCCATTACCAAACATTTCTCAATATGTCAAGGTAGTTGGACTGAAACATTGGCTATATGCAAATGCTCGTCTCATGAAAATAAATTCACTCTTGTTTACTTTGAAGCCCTACGAAGGTGAGGATGTCCAGTTTCAGTTAGGCAACTTTTTTAATACTATACTTTTACTGACGTTTCTGTCTTTTTGCGGCCCACATAAACGCAAACCTTGTTTATTTGGCCTGTCTTATCCTTTGAGTTTGACATGCTTGCTTTACAGAGAGGGTAAAACACAGCGGCCTACTCCCATTAACTGCAGCCAGCCCACTGGACCCCAAGGGAGCCACCCTCCTGAGCCGAAAAGGTAGGAGGGTGGCTAAAAATGTGCGTGTGTGTGTTTAGGTCATTAGGTCACCAGCCCCCTCTGATCGCATTGGGAATTATGTTTTTACTCATCTTTTTTTTCCAGCGCCGTGCCGGTCTCGCTGTAGCTGGCCCGCCTCCGTAGCGGAGTTCATCAATTACCAATCAGCATCTCCTCATAGAGATGCATTAAATTAATTAAAAGCATCTCTATGGGGAACGTTCAGCATCTCCATGCAGAGCGTGGAGACGCTGAATGTAGGTGCTGTACATTGTGGACTAATATAGGAGACATTTTAGTGGCCATCTGAGTGACAGCCTCCTAAAAGGCAGCCTTTACATTGAAAAGTCTACAGGGACAGGCTATATACACCAGAGCTATTACATTAAGCTGTAGTGGTTCTGGTGACTATAGTGTTCCTTTAAGAAGTGTATTTTTGTTGTTGAAAAAAAAAAAAAAAAAATACCTGGCTCTTAACTTTTTTAGTTGGCTCCTAGATTGAAAGCAAACTTGTCAATCCCCGAGTTAGGCAACTTATTTTATACTGTACGTTTGGCAATTTCTATGGAAACAGAAGTATTTGTTTTTTTGTGGCCGACATAAATCTTGTTTATTTGGCCCGTTTTAGCCTTTGAGTTTGACATGCTTGCTATAGACTCTCTCTCCCGTTTTACACATATTGCAGTGTTTGGTTTTAACTACAGTGATGGTCAGCCAGATGTTCTTGAACACAATCATTTATATTTTATAAAAAGGCAAACAAAAAACAACAGCAAGGATCCCCCCCCCCTCTCCTCCCAAGATTTAATCTAAGAAATAGACTTACATCTTCATCCAGGTTGGTCTGCTCAAGATCCACCATTTTAAACTGGACCCTCTTGAATATCTCCTCCAAAGCCTCACAGGCCTTATGGTCTAAGCGTTCACCTATGGAAGATCCAATATTTTATACATGTACAGTCATATTGCTGTGCAACAGCTATTACATTACAACTCACATAGTCCTCGGTCAGCTGTTTGACGTTATGGGATGATTATGGTAGGTGTAGTGCAAATACTGCTAAATAGTCACAGTTAGCAAACCTAAGACTTCATCAATTCTAGGCCTAATTGCTTAGGAAGAAAGAAGGAACCGTATACGTCTACAACTGGATTTAGCAGGGAGAGGTCAGAATCTGTCATTCTTCGATTATATCTCCGGGGAAGGGGAGAACAGGGAGTTAACAGTAACAAAACAAAAAAAGGGGGGACAAAGACCGGCGTCGATAAGCATTAGGGATATTCTATCCTACACTATATCTAGAGAAGCAGAGAGAAACAGCTAGACCTGGAGCTTAGAGGCCATTAGACAGAGTACTCACCTTTCAGATCAAGACTTTCCACTCTCCCCGAAAGATCAGTCATACCCTGCAAGACAAAAAGACTGTTTTGAAAATAAATGTAGAGCATAGCACTAAGAGTAAATGACATCATGATTATGTTCTATCACAGAGCAGTAATTCTCCTATGTGCAACATGGACTCTCAGGTAAATGGGTTGGCAAAGCAATAGCCCTGTAAATCCAAAGCTAGCCTGTTTATGTGTGCACTTTAAGAGCGTGATGTAGTTGATACAGTAATGTCACAGTAACCTCAGTAAATTTCTGATCCAGCGGAAGGTACCGATAATAAACAAACAATCTTGATGACACAATAGGATACCAGCAGCCAATTAGAATCTGACTTTCAGCAGCTCCCAGTTTCCCACAACTGGGACAGAGAAAACATTTCTTTGACGTTGTACTGACACTGTGTGCCTACATTTCTGACGTTCCACTATAAATAATGTATTGATTTTTGTAAAGGAGCTTAAATATTCGCACAATACACCAGCAAAATAAACAGTACCATTTACATTAAAGGACCATAACCATTTCACTGATTTGAAGTGGTCACGGAGGTTGGAGTATGTATGTGCAAGGTTTCACTATGAAGAGATCGACCCCTCTGTGTCACTGGGTTATCATTAGTCAGACCGGAACAACAGTTCAGGGTGGCAAATCTGAATTCTATGCAAATTTGGCATCTGATGCCAGCATGAACAGCATGCAGGTGTCAGACAGACAGTAGCAGCAAGTCCCACGTTGTTCCTCCGTGCCACCCATGTCCTCCCCTCAGTTTGCCTTCGGATTAAGGGGAGTGATATTAACAGAGGAAGCTCAGCTGCAGGGAGAACTTGGCCTCAGCGCTGGAATAAAGGAATGGTGTGTTTTTTTGGGTAGGTGAGACAAGTATAGGAAGGGTTACTCTGGCCAAAAACAGTGTTTTGTTTGGGTAAAACTTTAAGCTTGAAAATCAGGTACAAATTATGTTACACTACATATGTGAGTTTCTAGTTTCTTTTTGAATGAATATGGAGGCATAGGTCAGAGCAGGAAAACAGGTTTAGTTCTGCAAACCTTTTAAGAGTTGCACAAAAGAAAGATAGTTACTCATTATTCTTTTGCAAATTAAATCTGATGTGCGACATTTAAACTAAAATATTCCACACTGTGGCTATTGCAGAGTTGGAGATCCCCCCACACCTACAACATATGATTTTGCCTAGTTTTTACAATGTGGGTTTCATTCATAGTTTAGTGGAAAATCCTATTCTTTTTTAAATCACCCCTCGTAACCCCCCCAAAAAATAATTTTTTTTTTTTTAAAAACACAACCAAACCTATTTTTCCAGTGTTTTTAACTCTACTTTTCAGGCAGAGCATGGGATCAGGGCAGATTACTAAACATTAGATCTTACTATTGGGCTGTATTTATTTAGGCAGGGCGTTGCAGACCCCCAAGCCCATAGTGATCTGAATCAAACTCATGTCCTGCGTGCAGCCGAGTGGGGTGGGAGTGAAGGAGGACAGCACTTGTTATTTTCCATTTAAGGCTGTTTTGTCTCTCCGGCTCAGAACATGAAGGAAGCAAAATTATTTCCTGGCACATGGATTCTGATTCATTGACGTGTGAAGTTAAAAACTGAAGGAAAATGCTTAGTATGCTTTGTAAATGTCGCTTCAACTTAGAATGTGGAATCCATAAATACTTGGACAGCAGTAGTTTTGGCTCTATGTGCTAGCACACTGGATATCAAACAAAACAATAAACCGAGGGCTCTAATTTGCTTTGATTTCAAGGTATTTGCACCCATGTTGGAGATATTGTCCTTTGTATGCATAGGTCCTCCATTTCAGTGGATCAAAAATAATTGGACAGCTGTCTTTTCTCCTGTTGGCCCAGTATGTCATTGCATTGCTAGGTCAAGCTGATAATTCAAAAAGGTGAAAATACGAGTTTTCCTTTTTTTAGTTTGAGTCTGCTTCTGTTCAAAGAAGACATCATGAGTTGTCAATGAGAGTAAAGCAGACGCAGAAGATTCTCACAAATAGAATAACCGAATCAGTGAAACAAAGATTATTCAATGGTGTATTCCACTGCAAAAAGTAAGATCTCCTGGTAAACTCCATAACAACAAATGGTCAGTGTACAAAAAGACCACAGGAGACAATAAGAGGAGGGTGTTTGATGTGATGAGAACAAAAAGTAGCCCAATGGGAAGACCACATCAGCATAAAGTCAGGGTTTACCCCAAATCATTGGCAGACAGATTCTAGTTATTACAGTAAGCAGTTACATAGCACCAACATATTGAACTGCTTTTACCATCTCTTTAATGGGATAAAACAGCAAATAAGAGATAAACTATCACAAATGTTAACAGGAACAAGCAATGAATGAGGAAACATAACACCTGGTGGTGGAGGTGGGGATGAGATCACCAATTTCCAGGTACAATAGATTCCGGAAAGAACAGGCGAGGAGGAGATAAAGATTAACCTGCCTCTGAAGGATGGCGTGTTATAAAAGTGACGAAAGGAACAGGATTTGGGAAACTTGAAGGTAGTGGTATAGGTTGGACACTGGAATTAGCAAGATAAATTCTGGTAGGCACAGAAATATCCTGTCTGCAGAGATCGCATATCTGAAAGGATCCATCTGAACTGGTGTTTCACTAGAACGAAGAGAAAATACCCAGAAACAAACAGGACGAGTATCACCAGGGAATATATCCAACATCTGGTCATGTTTATAGGCCAAATACTTCAGGCAGAAATAAAATACAAATGATTTGCAACAAAGTACTCTTTCTGATCCCTAAAAAGGAGGAACTATTTATATGAAAGGCTTTAATTACAACGAAGTTTGTAATTTATGGATGTAATACTCGAGACTCATGGTAAAGCTGACAGTATGCACGTTCGCCATCTTAATGACAGATCCAATCAAGCCCAATGAAAGACAGAAAAACTAGTTACTATGACCTAATACTTATGGGCTGCACCGTATTTCTACCTCGGCAATAGGTGCATTAAATAGCTGTGTTTGAACAGCAAGGTGTGTCACAGTACATTTTATTTTTATGGATATACTTTGTCCCTAGCTCGCTCAGACTCTTCATCTACCAGATTATTTCTCCACTTCCTCCCATTAAGTCTGCTTCGCTCCCAGTCTCAGCACTCACATTTTTATCTACAGCTCGGACACAACGCTGGTCAAACACTTTCCAGAAAGTGGATTTTTAGAGCCATCACACACACGGAGAGTGGAGATGGCAAGTATACTGGCAGTGGTCAAATACAATAGCTCCAGGCACACCCAACTGACTTCGTGTTCCCTATCTGTGCAAACACTCTTTTAGCAAAGAATCCTCTCACCCTCTCGTGAATAGCCCCATCTGTTCCTATAAGAATAAGGGAGCTGAGTATTTAGACCAGGCTGGGAGCGCTAGGCTTGAAAGGTTAAAGCATACATGAAGTGGCAAGCTGCTAAACTATTTCTGCTTCCACAAATCTCTCACATAATAAATATAGTTCTGGACATTGTAAGGTCTTATTTCAGCCAATATGTTGTACAAGGATACCTTTCACAATATTCTGCCCAGGTACAGTTTCCAAACATTACAGTAGAGCAAGTATTCTCATAAATGGAACAGATAGCACCGACTGGAATATTCAAACAGTGAGCTTAGAAAAACGCTAGAGATAGATGTATTCTATGAAACATATCAGTTTATTTACAGTTAAGTTACGCATGCGGCAGACCCACCAGATTTAACCCAAGCTAAAGTGTTGAATCTCAGATTGCAATTGTCTGCTCATGGTTCGTATTTAGCACACAACACACTCTGCGTCCATATAGAAGAATTGACCCAGGTATTATAGCCTAAGATCTGTAATTCGCAGTTTAGAGAATAAACCCAGACAAATTCAAATGCCTAATTTTAGGTCTGCCAAACGGAGATCATGCATAAATTAGGAATAGATTATTCTATTCTAAATACTGAATATCCTAAACAATTCTATTTTTATATAAAGTGCTAACATATCGCACACCACTGTGTAGGAAATAATCAATACATCAGCGCACTAACAAACATATTTGGTAAAGGGAAACGGAGGTAATAACAGTACTCTAATCAGCTTACATCTAACGTTCACGGTAAGGCTATTTACCATTTCTAATGACACTAGCATAACAAAACAAAAATCCCATTAACACAATATTGGAATAGATTCCCCCCAAAACTAAGAAGTTTAGAAGAACAGCAAAAACACATTTGTCTTTATCCATACGCCAATCTAAAGGCTAGTGACCCAGTTGCAAGGTAATTAATATGAGGTCTAGCCATGGAAAGTGACATGTGATAGGGGGAAGTGTCATTGTCACTTGGTGCAGAATCCTGTGTCCTCTCTGTTGCATCATTCTGAGAACGGGGCACTCTTAATATGTGTCCGGTAGTGACAGCTCCCTATTGTGTCTTTAGGTTATAAAACCAATCTCAACCTCTGTGTCACATCCTGTCCAGGGACATAAATAAAGGCATGCTTTGTCTGTCTCGGCTAGGCTTTGTGTTTGTTATGTTGCCTAAAGACAGGTCCTTTTTTGTGTCATCGTGTTATCCCGCACAGATAAAACTCACATCCGCCGGAGTATATTTATTTATACACACACACAAAAAAAAACACTAACACGTTTAAAAAGGTACAGGATACGTTAACTGCATCTGATATTGCGCTTTCAGCTTTTGTAGTGTGTCAGCTTTAATAAATGAATTACAGATTTCATTACTTTTTTCATATAATTTAGAAACTATACACAAAGTTAACAGTAGTATATGCAAAGTTGGGACCCACAACTGCACTATATGAAAAATGCAGATTATTTTAAATACGTACACAGACTATGTATATCAATTACAAGAGTAATGTTCTTTGAGGAGTGTTGAGCATTTACATTATTATTTTTTTTGCAAAGAACCCCATCCCTTGAAGGTGCCGTCTGCTTGGTGGCACCCCGGGGTAGGGAAAGGGAGATCTATTTATCTAAAAACATTTTGTCTGCTCGAGCTGCACATTCTGATTTTCAGCTTCTAGAAGAAAGATCTACAAAAGGCTGCGTTAGTTTTGTACTCTTGCACAAATGCCATGATAACAAGTGAGAAGATGCTTGTTGAATGGCCCTCTTCATTTTGCCAAAACACATGTGTACATAATACAAAGTAGCTCTTACTTTGCCTTAAAAACTCAGAAATTACTGTAGACTGAAGATATAGAATGAGGAGAAAGAGCGTAGTCTTATATTATGAGGTGGTTTGTAACAGGGGGTCTAGGTTTTGCAGTGGTTAACATTCAGGATGGACAGGGCTGTACCTGGCAACGTGGCCTTACGGGAAGGTATTGGGTTCAGATATTTCCAATAAAAGTGATCCTATCCAGGAATAGAGTGCAAATGGCACGGAGAACATTCAGAAGCAGTAAGATAGAGGGAAAATGCCAGACATAGGCCCATACGTCCAGATTGTAGCGTATAGATCAATATATGCTCCCACAAATACGTAGGGAACGACCCTTTCTAGACTGATACAGACATACCTGAAGTTGTCGAATAAGCTTGGGAATCTGTTTGCAGTTGAGCTTCTGGCAGGCTTGAGTGTACGATGTGATGACATCATCCACTGTTACGTTCTGAGCTGGGGGTGGAAAAGAATAAAAATAAAAATAAATGAGAAGCTGTAGGGATGTGGTCATGAATAACTAGTGTATTAGCATGAAATAGTCACTTAATATACATATAATGGATCAATAGAGCAGAAAAGGATCGCAAGGTATTTAAAAAAAAAAAAAAAAAAGTTTTATTAAGAATTCAACTCAAGCATTATACCGCACAATGAAACGGGCATCTGTTTAGGGGCAAAAGGCTGTGTTGTTCCCTTTGGTTTATACCTGCTATTAAATGCCCACCCTACCCCACACTGTGTTATTATAAGTGACATATGGTCTCCCTCAAAGAATTCTATTCAACTCGCTATATGGCAGCTTCTTACATTAACAACTGTCAACTTCATTCATGGAAAAAAAAATTATGAATGAAGCTAGTTGGGCAGGTTAACATAGGTTCTGCTTGCCAAATAGTTTAATTTGCCCATTCATGCATATAACTACTAAACTGTTGGACTATGTATCCTCTGATGAGCAGGGTTTAATAGTATATGTTCTCAATGAATAATATATTAAAGGAAACGCGTATTCCTGTCCATATAGTTTTAAAACCATCATTTAGGTGGCCTGCCCCCCTTAAAAAGGTAAGAAAACGTACCTTATTTCCAGCGCCATGGAGATCTGCTGGCGCTGGCTCTGACCCCGGTCTGCCTCCTTGGCCAACGTAAGAATTGTTCCCATAGGAAAAGCATTGGATTGGCTGAGATTGTCAAGCAGGCAGGACGGGGGCAGAGCCAAATGCCGCCCTGGACAATCAACATCAAATCAATGCATCTCTATGGGGAAAGTTCCGCATCTCCATGCATAGCGTGGAGACACAGAACATCAGAGCTGCACAGTGTGCAGCATTGACCCAGGAATCACCTCTAGGGGCCACTGAGTAGTGGCCACTAGAAGTGTTCCTAGGAAGCAATGAAAGCACTGCCTCTTCTCTGAAAAGGCAGCGCTTACAGCAAAAAGGCTGCAGGGACTGACTATACTCATCCAAACTACTACAATAAGCTGTAGTTGTTCTGGTGCCTATAGTGACCCTTTAAGTCCCGTCTTGGAACCAGCAGAAACTACAGATTAAAATATATACAATAATACAATTTTGTCTTCGCTCTCTGAAACCTGTTTACAGGCTTTGTTAAAGCACAACATGTAGTTGTGGAATGTTGACAATCAACTGATAAGGATGCAGTTACAATGCAGAAGAGTAGTTAAATCTTTCCAACATTTTATTTGGCATAAAATCAGTTGCCAACTCACTGTTCAATAAATAAACCTATTTGAGGAGTAACAAAACAGCCAGCAGAGAAATCTCACTATCTAGAGAACTACAGTTTTCTTGTACTGAGAGAGGAAACCCTCTTGGGTTTCAGTTTGACAGCCAGTGGGATGTCCTAATTTATTTCATTATAGGGGCCACAAACTATATCTTAGGGGCTTGTAACAAAAATGAAATAATATGAATGTGAGAAACAAGTACAAGTGAACGCAGGATATCATCAGCTCCAATTAAATTTCCACAAGCAGGTGTTATTAACTTATTTCAAGAGTTGTAATGCTGCTCATAAATTAGCATGCATACATTGTCATACAACATCACTGATTTGTCTTAGAAGTTAAAACAATGGTTTTTTAACCCTTCCACTGGGACCCGAATGTAAGGAGACATTTAATTCTAGTGGGTTATCACTGATAGGAACAGACACATTGTTCATTGGGCTACAGGCAACTGAGATCTACTGCAGTAGCTGTGCTTTTTACATGGAAGTGGAGACACCTATGATACGGAGTACAGTCTTATGAAGGTGTTCTCATGTTTCGAATATAGCACTTGATGAGTTACTGAACTAATCTTCCAAACTAAATTCGGGGTCACTTTGCCAAATCCAAGATCATATTAGAGCCAATGCCTTAGGGCAATGGTAGTCCATAATTTAGCTGGGAAATCTCAGTCATATCCAGGATTGAGAAAACATACTGGGAGTAGATTAGAGTAGAGGATCCCAAGCCAGTCCTCAAGTACCCCCTACCAGTCCAGGATTTAGAGATTACCCTGTTGTCTAAAGAGTTTTTTTCCCTTTTTTCTAAAAAACACCTTACACACAACTGGGTAATTTCCAAATCCTGGTCTTTTAGTGGGGAACTTGAGGACTGGGTTGGGAACCACTGTATTAGAGGAATTTGCTGCATTTCAAATAGAATGTCTTTTATGGAATTAACATGAATGTTTTACAATCGAAGGTATTTTATCCTGGTTCCATCCGTTTATTGGAGTAAGGTACTGATCCAATCAGGAATGTGTAACATTGTGTCAGTACATTTTTGCACATATCCAATAGTTAAATGTTCAATATCAAACGGTTAGAAAGGGGACAAAATTTCAATAAAAAGAAGTTGAAAGATTGAAGACAATAGTAAGAAAAAAATATATATACTACTTTAAAGTAGTAGATAAATTGATTAGCCTTCAAGCAGAAGCAGTAATATATAAAGGGCAGCAAATACCTGAATCAGTCTTAGACAGGAAGTAATAAAGGGCAACAGTGATTTAAAAAAAATAAAAAAAATAAAATAAAAAAAACGCAGAAAATAAACACAGGACAGCAATAAAAGGCAACAGTGATTGATAAAGGGGTAGCTGAAATAGCCCATTAGAAGTAATAGTAAAGATTAGCAAGGTAAAGGAAGAACGTGTGCTGTGCATAAGGCTACCCAGAATTAGTAAGTAAATCTAGTTTTCACAATGGGTAAATGGGATGGACCGGTCACAGAGTTCCTCTCTGGTGCAATAGTCCTGTTGCTATTTATGGTGGTATGTACAGGGCTTTGAAGTTTAGTACATGTTGTTCTTCTGGTCTGTAACACATACATATATAAAACAGAGAGATAGGCCCCTCTGGCAAAGTCTGGGAAGAAAAAAAATTATATATATTAGGCATGAGCTAACATGACATTTAGGTGCAGATTATGTGTTAAGTGTATAGGTGAAATAGTAACATTAAATATGCATATTTTATATCTTATGCAAACCTTCTGCGATCTGACCCCTACGTTTCCTGCATGGTGTCTGTGTACTTAAGAAGGCAACTTTACATGTTAAAAGAACTGTGTAAATCAATGTATTGTTTGGACAGCAAAAGCTGCGTTAAAGCAAACTTTAGAGAAAGCTTTTACAGAATTAGGAGGGGGGGGGGGCGAATTGCGACACTGAGAATTGCTCAGCTGATCAGACATGTGAGGTCAACAAATCACATGATATTATCTGGCCCATTCACAAACTCTACAAAACAAAGGGACATTCCTGGCACTATTTACGGGCATGTAAGAATTTATTTTATCCCCGACCCCCCCACTTATGTAGCAAACGCAAAATAGTTGTAGACATTTCTTCTGTCAACATAACTCTTATCTATGACATTTTTTGTTTTTGATACATCAGACTGGATGTGAATGCAGAGGCCAGGGTTCAGTTAGTTAGTTTCCATTCATTCATGCAAGCAATTGTTTCTGTATGGTGTAAGTATGCGCAGATCATACTTGGGTGAACACACCAAACGTATGTGTGAATTGTTCAATGGAAATCATGACTGGCTGGGAGCACAAGGACACTTTAAATGCAAAGAGCATCAAAGTAGGCTGACTCTAGCCTAGGGAACACCTGCATGAGAGACAGATCTACAATTTTTTTAATACAAAAAAAAAAATCTGATAATGAATAAACCATAAAATACATTAAACAAAGAAAGTTAACCCTCCAACCCCCACCCCAACAAGCATTCCTTTAAAAACTAGGACACGCATTTAGCTTAAAAAAATAAAAAATAAAAAATAATAATAATTATTAACCGATTATAAAATTATTAGCAACATATCACATAAGAAAACAATACCAAGAGAGGCGAAACATACCAGGAAGTCATTGTACTTTAGTGTCTCAACAAAAGCTTCCGTAAAGGACCACTCTAGGCACCCAGACCACTTCAGCTTAATGAAGTGGTCTGGGTGCCAGGTCCCTCTAGGATTAACCCCCTTTTTAATAAACATAGCAGTTTCAGAGAAACTGCTATGTTTATAAATGGGTTAATCCAGCCTCCAAATCCTCTAGTGGCTGTCTCATTGACAGCCGCTAGAGGCGCTTGCGTGCTTCTCACTGTGAAAATCACAGTGAGAACACGCAAGCATCCATAGGGAAGCATTGTAAATGCTTTCCTATGAGACTGGCTGAATGCGCGCGCAGCTCTTGCCGCACATGCGCATTCAGCCGAAGAGGAGGATCGTAGGCGGAGAGGAGGATGAGAGCTGCCCGCATGGCGCTGGAATAAAGGTAAATTTAACCCCTTTCCTCGCCATCCAGCCCGGCGGGAGGGGGTCCCTGAGGGTGGGGGCACCCTCAGGGCACTATAGTGCCAGGAAAACGAGTATGTTTTCCTGGCACTATAGTGGTCCTTTAAAGGGACACTACAGTCACTAGAACAACTACAGCTTATTGAATTTGTTCTGGTGAGTAGAATCATTACCTTCAGGCTTTTTTCAGTAAACACTGTATTTTCAGATAAAATGCAATGTTTACATTACAGCCTAACTCAACTGGCCACTCCTCAGAAGGCTACTATGGGTACCTTCTGGGGCAGTGTTGCACGGTGTGCAGCGCTGACATTCAGTGTCTCATTTTTTTTTGAATGTCTACTTCCATGGACAGGAAAACAAAACAAAAATATTAGAGGCATGTTCATCATCTGACACTGATGGTATTTTTAAAGGATACTTTAGTTTGCAATGGACATTTATTTTAATATATACATAAGGATTTCAAATTATGCAAAAACAAATTAAAGACACAAAATGACCACATTTTAAGTTCCAGGATTGTCACCAACCAGGTAATAAATCATGGTCATTTAAAGGGAAACTTTAAGCATCATAACGACAAAACTGCAGTGGTGGTTATGCTTCCATGAGTCCCCAGGAGCAAGCATCAAACACTTTTATGAATAAACCTTGTTACAACCCCCTAGATGTCACACAGACAGCTGGTCCTGTTACTTCCTGGTTTGTTTTTTAGCTCAGTGGAGCTAAACTCAAATGGCAGCAATTGCCCAGAGCACCTGCCTTGCAAAGATCTCATTAAACTGCATTAGGAAGTCTGTGCTGGGTAAGAAGGGGAAGGCTTGCATTAGGTGCAGAGGCTATATATAAAGCTACCGCAAACCAAGTTTCATGTACCCCAAAAGAAAATATACAAAACAAATTACATACATGTTTTATTTGGGATATGTACTATAAAAAAATAAAAAAAATAAAAATAATAATTATATATATATATATATATATATATATATATATATATATATATATATATATATATATATATTTTAATGAAATGTTCCTTTAACCATGGGGCACAAGGACCCTGCAGAAGACTTCTCACTAGATATACCAATAAAAGAGTAATGGACATGGACGGTGTAATCAGGTAAGTATTTAAAGGGACATTATAGTCACCTGAACAACTTCAGCTTAATGAGGTTGTTCAGGTGAGAACTATAGCTCCCTGCAGCCTCTCTCATGTAAACACTATTTTCTGAGAAAGTACAGTGTTTACATTGAAAGCTACGAACACCTCCAGTCGCTTAGAGTGAAAAAGTGGGACTTCGGTGTTCATGGAAGCATAATATGCCTCCATCCACTCAGATCTGCTGTCAGCAGAGCACAGGGCAGCACTGTGCACAGCATCCTGTGATTCAGTATCTCCTCCCACTGCATGCAGACACGGAACTTTCCTCATAGAGATTAATTGATTCCATTCATCTCTATGAGGAGATGCTGATTGGCCAGGGCTTTGTTTGGATCATGCTGGCTCTGCCCCTTATCTGTCTCCTTGTCAGTCTCAGCCAATCCTATGGGGAAGCACTGTGATTGGATCAGGCTACCACTTCTGATGTCAGCAGACTGCTTGTTTTTCCTGAGTCTAACAGCATGCAGATTTACAGCTTCAAGCTTGAATACAGTAAGATTTTTACTATATTTATGGAGGCATGAGGGGCTAGATGGTCGTGTTAACAATATAGGGTCAGGAATACATGTAGTTGCACTGGTGAGTATAGTGTCCCTTTAAAGGTTTTTTTTTTTTTTGTATTTTAAACTTTTTACATGGAGGGGAGGGGCAAAGGGACACAATAGAGTTAGGAATACAGTTTAGTATTCCTTAAACTATAATGTTCCTGTTAATATCTTATTTCAAAAAAAAAAAAATTTGACATTTTTATAAATAAAAACTTGTTACACCACCCTGGTTGCCAATCGGACAACTGGCCATGGTAGTTCCTAATTGTTTAGCTCAGTGAAGCTGAATGCAACACAAAGACAATTGCCCATAGCACCTGCCTTGCAAAGGCTCTCATTGAGCTGCTTTGGAAAGTCTGTGATTGGGCAGCCAGCCACAGAAAGTGTGTACCGGTGAAAAAGGGGAAGGCTTGCAAAGGCTGCAGACAAGAGATCTACAGCTTTTATAGATTATAACCCTAATGGGAAAATAAAAAACATAATTGAAGACACTCATGTTTTCACTGAGTGTATATGTAATAAATAGTGATTTATTTTATTTATTTATTTTTGGCGCTGTGGAGTGACCCTTATTTTCAAACCATTCTTTCAGGCTCCCTCATTAAGGGCACTCATACGGATTATATATTGCTTCCAAGGGTAGACCGGACTGTCTTCTGAAACCCTATGTCTAGAAACAACACAGAGGTAAGTATGAATAAAATTAAGAAAAACAAAAAAAATGTTAAAAAAAACTTTCACAGTTTTGCTTATAATAATAGCTATACAACTAGTGCAATACATTACAAGTTACAGTGCAGTCATTGCAAGGTTAAGAATAATAATAATTAAAAAAAATATATATATATATTTTTTTTTTAAAGTCGTATTCTGAAAAGTGGTCTAAATTACTAAAAAGGGTTAAGTCTCTATGGAAACCAGTGGGCCGCGCAGGCAGTTTACTTTGCTAATCCGCTCCATTTTCATGTCTGCACCACTTTTCGGAACACACACCTTTTATACATAGTCCACAATATAACAGCAATCGCCACAAAAAAAAAACCAAACAAACTACTACATAAAAGTATATATTTGACTCTCCGCAAAATATTTATCCAGGCTAGGGTCATTTATACACTTTGTGTAACCAATCTACTAAAACATCAGGTTATTGTTTTTCTTCATATAGCTATGAGCACAGAACTGCACTGCCACGTGCCCTAAAGCATTTAGCAATAACCTAGTACATGCAGTACAACCCGGTAATAGTGCCCTATGGCAACAGGCATCTGGGGCATGGTGCCACAATGATTAGATGCATGGGGGCATCGCTGGACTGTCTAGCTAGCGAGGATTCAAGCAATAGTAAAGGTCTGCTCATTATTAGCATGATCCACAATTAAAAGGATATTTTACATCCTCATACCAAATTGCCCAGGTGGAGGGGATATACAGGGTACATTCACGGTGATTTAAGAGAATAAAGTCATATGTACTAAACATCAAATAAAAAGAACTACAGTTAAGAATATCTTAACTTAGAACTGTCTGCTTATACCGTAAAGCTGCACCTTCGAGTTAAACCAAAACTAGCAAGTCACATTAATTAATAACTTATTAGTGCTCAGATGGCCTGATATATAATTGATCAACCCAGCGGCCGATCGTATACGGTTTCAGTTTTAGATAATGGACTGTACAAAAGTAAGAAACCGAAATGCTCTGTTGTAAGTGGTAACTAATGGTTGCTTTAACCCCTTGGTGTCTGTGTTATTAACATCAGAGATAAACTATTAGCAATAATCTGCGGGGCAGTTTGTAACCATGACTGGAACGAGATCTCAAGAAACCCAAAATGTCTTTAATAAAAAAGGTTTAGATTCTTACATCAGGGATTTCCTCATTAACCTGAAATTATATAAAAAAAATTGACAAGTAAATTGCACATTGTAAGCCAAAATATCAAAGCTAGAAAAAAAATTAAGCCTAATTTGCGATTTTCTTTTTCCTAGTACAGCTACTTGGCCTTCAAACTGCACTTCACTTCCCAAACTAAGCCTAATTTAGGGAGACTATGGAAAACTGTGTATGGGACGTAACTAATATGAAACAGGGAATACAGGACTGAAGGGAATAAGATATTTATAAAGAACCATTATATCTAGCAGCATTTCTCACCATGCCTCCAGGGGTCTTTTGGTTCTAGGGCTCCCGATACAATATCATCATCAGATGGGAAGGTAACCCTTTTGGGCCCCTGTTTACTACGGCCATTCTCTTCTTCTGGTGCACCTCCATCCTTAGTCCCATTCCCATTCTTTCCTTGGTCTACTTTTCCAGTGGATAACGTGCACATTTCAATCCCCTCCCCTCCATCACCATGTCCCGTTGCTTTAGTTTGAGAAACCAGATGGGTCCTGTCATCAGGTGGAATTTCCAAATTCTGACTACTTGAAGTTTGGAAAGTGGAAGACTCTTGTTTCTTGCTACCATCCACAGTAGACGGAGAGTCTTTATTGCTATCAACTTTCAGTTCAGCCACTGAGCTTGTTTCCAGCACTACATCTGTAATTTCCAAGGGTCTCTTCCCATCAGGGAGTACCAGATCAGATTCTGTATTACCATCTGGTTTTATGTGAGGATTGCAACACATTTCATCTCCTGTGGTCTCGTTTGTAGGGCATGATGTGACTTCATTCTCCTCATCTGCATATTCTGACCTGTGGGGTGGCCCCTCGAGGGGCAATTCTGCGTTCTCTAAAGTCCCAGGCATTTCCATAGCAACAAAACTTATCCAGCTACTGATGCCATTTTAATTCATACAGAATAAGAGAACTTGCAGCTTCAATGACTCAGTGCATGGCAGGTGCTGGAACACATAGGATATTTAACAACTGGGTATTACTTACACGGTTCTGAAAATACAATGCTTTGGAAAACCCAGTAAGTGGTCATATCTCACTCCATGGCCCTTTCAAACCCCATGTATGCTCACTGTATGATCAGAAGTATTTTACTGTCGCCATTCCAACTTTCCAAAAGATATGTCCATTGTATCCATGTATTCTATGCTGTTTTGTCCAAAATGGTGATTTAAAAAAAATAAAATAAATTTTTTTTTATAAAAATTATCGCAATGCAGTTTTGTCCGGCCTGGACAAGTCTTTCTACCCCCTAGGCTATCACTCATGTAGTTTTTGCACTATCATCCTTACATTTGAAGTCTTTTCAAACACACAAAATAGTCAATCTGCTGGTAATTCACAATGTGTGGTCACACTTGCAACATTTGAATCACAGAATATCTCACCAGCATAAGGTCTTCAGCAGTATCATTCAGTATTAGTGCAATGCTGATTTCACGTGGTCAGTTTTGTGCCAGAATGTAATGTGTGCTGCAAGGGGGAGTATATAGCAGCTTGATGGCAAATACTAAAGTCATCAGACAGCTTCTGTCTGACAGCCTGTCTCTAAATTTCTGGTAGCACGCTGCCTCACTAACAGGCAAGTCTATCAGTGAGCAGGACTGTCTCACTCCAGGTTTTATCTGTGCGCAGATCAGGCTCACTCCAACAAGCAGACTTTGTAACTGGGCAGGTCTGTCTAATTTAGAAAGCAGTCTCTAAATGTGAAGTGGACTGCATTATTGCAGCAAGCAGTATACATGAGTGAACTGAAGCGTCTCACTGCATTGAGGGCCTCTCATTGCAGGAACCAATCTATGAGTAAGCTGGACTATATCACTGCAGGAAAAAGTCTCTGTGAGGGAGCGGGGCTGTCTCTTATGAAATGAAGCAGTCTCTGTGAGGGAGCGGGGCTGTCTCTTATGAAATGAAGCAGTCTCTGTGAGGGAGCGGGGCTGTCTCTTATGAAATGAAGCAGTCTCTGTGAGGGAGCGGGGCTCTCTCTTATGAAATGAAGCAGTCTCTGTGAGGGAGCGGGGCTCTCTCTTATGAAATGAAGCAGTCTCTGTGAGGGAGCGGGGCTGTCTCTTATGAAATGAAGCAGTCTCTGTGAGGGAGCGGGGCTGTCTCTTATGAAATGAAGCAGTCTCTGTGAGGGAGCGGGGCTGTCTCTTATGAAATGAAGCAGTCTCTGTGAGGGACTTATGAAATGAAGCAGTCTCTGTGAGGGAGCGGGGTCTCTTATGAAATGAAGCAGTCTCAGGGCTGTCTCTTATGAAATGAAGCAGTCTCTGTGAGGGAGCGGGGCTGTCTCTTATTAATTGAAGCAGTCTCTGTGAGGGAGCTGGGCTGTCTCTTATTAATTGAAGCAGTCTCTGTGAGGGAGCTGGGCTGTCTCTTATTAATTGAAGCAGTCTCTGTGAGGGAGCTGGGCTGTCTCTTATTAATTGAAGCAGTCTCTGTGAGGTACCAGTCTCACTCAGTGAAGCAGTCTCTGAGGTACCAGTGCGGTCTCACTCAGTGAAGCAGTCTCTGTGAGGTACCAGCGCTGTCTCTTAGTGAAGCAGTCTCTGTGAGGTACCAGCGCTGTCTCTTAGTGAAGCAGTCTCTGTGAGGTACCAGCGCTGTCTCTTAGTGAAGCAGTCTCTGTGAGGTACCAGCGCTGTCTCTTAGTGAAGCAGTCTCTGTGAGGTACCAGCGCTGTCTCTTAGTGAAGCAGTCTCTGTGAGGTACCAGCGCTGTCTCTTAGTGAAGCAGTCTCTGTGAAGTACCAGTGCTGCAGGATAGCAGTGTCCTCCTGATTGTCTCTCAGTGAGGCTGTCTCTGTGTAAGGTACCAGTGCTGCAGGGTAGCAGTGTCCTCCTGGCTGTCTCAGTGAAGTACCAGTGCTGCAGGATAGCAGTTTCCTCCTGGCTGTCTCTACCTCAGTGAGGGAGCTGGGCTGCAGGATAGCAGTGTCCTCCTGGTTGTCTCTACCTCAGTGAAGCAGTCTCTGTGAGGGAGCTGGGCTGCAGGATAGCAGTGTCCTCCTGGCTGTCTCTCCCTCAGTGAAGCAGTCTCTGTGAGGTAGCAGTGTCCTCCTGGCTGTCTCTCACTCTGTGAAGCAGTCTCTGTGAGTAAGCTGGGCTGCAGGATAGCAGTGTCCTCCTGGCTGTCTCTCACTCAGTGAAGCAGTCTCGGTGAGGTACCAGTGCTGTCTCACTCTGTGAGGCAGTCTCAGTGAGGTAGAAGTGTCCTCCTGGCTGTCTCTCCCTCAGTGAAGCAGTCTCAGTGAGGTAGAAGTGTCCTCCTGGCTGTCTCTCCCTCAGTGAAGCAGTCTCAGTGAGGTAGCATTGTCCTCCTGGCTGTCTCTCCCTCAGTGAGGCAGTCTCAGTGATGTAGCAGTGTCCTCCTGGCTGTCTCTCACTCAGTGTGGCCTCCTGGCTGTCTCTCACTCAGTGTGGCCTCCTGGCTGTCTCTCACTCAGTGTGGCCTCCTGGCTGTCTCTCACTCAGTGTGGCCTCCTGGCTGTCTCTCACTCAGTGTGGCCTCCTGGCTGTCTCTCACTCAGTGTGTCCTCCTGGCTGTCTCTCACTCAGTGTGTCCTCCTGGCTGTCTCTCACTCAGTGTGTCCTCCTGGCTGTCTCTCACTCAGTGTGTCCTCCTGGCTGTCTCTCACTCAGTGTGTCCTCCTGGCTGTCTCTCACTCAGTGTGTCCTCCTGGCTGTCTCTCACTCAGTGTGTCCTCCTGGCTGTCTCTCACTCAGTGTGTCCTCCTGGATGTCTCTCACTCATTGTGTCCTCCTGGCTGTCTCTCACTCAGTGTGTCCTCCTGGATGTCTCTCACTCAGTGTGTCCTCCTGGCTGTCTCTCACTCAGTGTGGCCTCCTGGCTGTCTCTCACTCAGTGTGGCCTCCTGGCTGTCTCTCACTCAGTGTGGCCTCCTGGCTGTCTCTCACTCAGTGTGGCCTCCTGGCTGTCTCTCACTCAGTGTGTCCTCCTGGCTGTCTCTCACTCAGTGTGTCCTCCTGGCTGTCTCTCACTCAGTGTGCCTCCTGGCTGTCTCTCACTCAGTGTGTCCTCCTGGCTGTCTCTCACTCAGTGTGTCCTCCTGGCTGTCTCTCACTCAGTGTGTCCTCCTGGCTGTCTCTCACTCAGTGTGTCCTCCTGGCTGTCTCTCACTCAGTGTGTCCTCCTGGCTGTCTCTCACTCAGTGTCCTCCTGGCTGTCTCTCACTCAGTGTGTCCTCCTGGCTGTCTCTCACTCAGTGTGTCCTCCAGGCTGTCTCTCACTCAGTGTGTCCTCCTGGCTGTCTCTCACTCAGTGTCCTCCTGGCTGTCAGGCCGCCTGGTTAATACAATATGTCAGCAGAAAGTGTAAACCAGTCCCACACGCTGATATCTGAGTGGAGAAGACTGTCTCGGTTGGTTGACGCAGTCTCTTTTCTCATTCCGTCTCTGAGGCCAGCTCCAGGCTGTCTCTGCGTGCAGGGCTGTCTCCAGCGCTCCCAGGCTGTCTCTTGATGTCTAACTCGGTTTCCGGGTCACGTGCCTCCGTCTCGGCCTCAGCCAACATGTGACGCAAACGAATCCCGAGACCAATCAGCGACCGCCGCGTCAGCACCTACCATAGACCTCGCGGGACAGAGAAAGAGCTCACAACAGAGGCCGTGCATGCACTTACCATAGAGAGGGAGGAGGACCGACTGGCTGGAATATTTAACATGGAAAGGAAGTGCAGAAATTAGAGCTGGGAGAGACTAAAACAAGCAGCTAGGGGGGATAGGTTCCTGAGATGGAGGTGTGAGACTGTGAAACACAGGGCCATGGAGTCCCTGCTGATAGGAACCCATTTTATAAGGAGATAGTCAGTGTTTAATAGAGTCCCTGCTGATATGAACCCATTTTATAAGGAGATAGTCAGTGTTTAATAGAGTCCCTGCTGATAGGAACCCATTTTATAAGGAGATAGTCAGTGTTTAATAGAGTCCCTGCTGATATGAACCCATTTTATAAGGAGATAGTGTTTAATAGAGTCCCTGCTGATATGAACCCATTTTATAAGGAGATAGTCAGTGTTTAATAGGGTCCCTGCTGATAGGAACCCATTTTATAAGGAGATAGTGTTTAATAGAGTCCCTGCTGATATGAACCCATTTTATAAGGAGATAGTCAGTGTTTAATAGAGTCTCTGCTGATAGGAGCCCATTTTATAAGGAGATAATCAGTGTTTAATAGAGTCTCTGCTGATAGGAGCCCATTTTATAAGGAGATAGTCAGTGTTTAATAGAGTCTCTGCTGATAGGAACCCACTTTATAAGGAGATTGTCAGTGTTTAATAGAGTCCCTTCTGATAGGAACCCATTTTATAAGGAGATAGTCAGTGTTTAATAGAGTCCCTGCTGATTGGAACCCACTTTATAAGGAGATTGTCAGTGTTTAATAGAGTCCCTGCGGATATGAACCCATTTTATCAGGAGATAATCAGTGTTTAATAGAGTCCCTTCTGATAGGAACCCATTTTATAAGGAGATAGTCAGTGTTTAATAGAGTCCCTGCTGATAGGAACCCATTTTATAAGGAGATAGTCAGTGTTTAATAGAGTCTCTGCTGATAGGAGCCCATTTTATAAGGAGATAGTCAGTGTTTAATAGAGTCTCTGCTGATAGGAACCCATTTTATAAGGAGATAGTCAGTGTTTAATAGAGTCCCTGCTGATAGGAACCCATTTTATAAGGAGATAGTCAGTGTTTAATAGAGTCTCTGCTGATAGGAGCCCATTTTATAAGGAGATAATCAGTGTTTAATAGAGTCTCTGCTGATAGGAGCCCATTTTATAAGGAGATAGTCAATGTTTAATAGAGTCTCTGCTGATAGGAACCCATTTTATAAGGAAATTGTCAGTGTTTAATAGAGTCCCTGCGGATATGAACCCATTTTATCAGGAGATAATCAGTGTTTAATAGAGTCCCTTCTGATAGGAACCCATTTTATAAGGAGATAGTCAGTGTTTAATAGAGTCCCTGCTGATTGGAACCCATTTTATAAGGAGATAGTCAGTGTTTAATAGAGTCTCTGCTGATAGGAACCCATTTTATAAGGAGATTGTCAGTGTTTAATAGAGTCCCTGCTGATTGGAACCCATTTTATAAGGAGATAGTCAGTGTTTAATAGAGTCTCTGCTGATTGGAACCCATTTTATAAGGAGATAGTCAGTGTTTAATAGAGTCTCTGCTGATAGGAACCCATTTTATAAGGAGATTGTCAGTGTTTAATAGAGTCCCTGCTGATAGGAACCCATTTTATAAGGAGATAGTCAGTGTTTAATAGAGTCCCTGCGGATATGAACCCATTTTATAAGGAGATAGTGTTTAATAGAGTTCCTGCTGATATGAAACCATTTTATAAGGAGATGGTCAGTGTTTAATAGAGTCCCTGCTGATAGGAACCCATTTTATAAGGAGATAGTCAGTGTTTAATAGAGTCCCTGCTGATATGAACCCATTTTATAAGGAGATAGTCAGTGTTTAATAGGGTCCCTGCTGATAGGAACCCATTTTATAAGGAGATAGTCGGTGTTTAATAGAGTCCCTTCTGATAGGAACCCATTTTATAAGGAGATAGTCAGTGTTTAATAGAGTCCCTGCTGATATGAACCCATTTTATAAGGAGATAATCAGTGTTTAATAGAGTCCCTGCTGATAGGAACCCATTTTATAAGGAGATAGTCAGTGTTTAATAGAGTCCCTGCTGATAGGAACCCATTTTATAAGGAGATAGTCAGTGTTTAATAGAGTCCCTGCTGATAGGAACCCATTTTATAAGGAGATAGTGTTTAATAGAGTCCCTGCGGATATGAACCCATTTTATAAGGAGATAATCAGTATTTAATAGAGTCCCTTCTGATAGGAACCCATTTTATAAGGAGATAGTGTTTAATAGAGTCCCTGCGGATATGAACCCATTTTATAAGGAGATAATCAGTATTTAATAGAGTCCCTTCTGATAGGAACCCATTTTATAAGGAGATAGTCAGTGTTTAATAGAGCCCCTTCTGATATGAACCCATTTTATAAGGAGATAGTCAGTGTTTAATAGAGTCCCTGCTGATAGGAACCCATTTTATAAGGAGATAGTCAGTGTTTAATAGAGTCCCTGCTGATAGGAACCCATTTTATAAGGAGATAGTCAGTGTTTAATAGAGCCCCTTCTGATATGAACCCATTTTATAAGGAGATAGTCAGTGTTTAATAGAGTCCCTGCTGATAGGAACCCATTTTATAAGGAGATAGTCAGTGTTTAATAGAGTCCCTGGGTTAATGGTATAAACAGATTATACAGGGGATTTAACATGTCTTACAAGGTTATTCAATAAAGTGAGGACTGTCAGGAATTATGAGTAAATTTCAACTCTAAAGGCCAAACTACCAAACTGGAATCACAGGTGACTTAGAGATTTATTTATTTTCCAGTTTGGTTATTTTGGCCTTAAATGTAAAATTCACTTTGAATTCCTGACAGTTCTCAGTTTAGTGATATAGTCCATCTGGTTAAAGGGACACTATAGTCCCCGGAACTACTACAGCTTAATGTATTGGTTCTGGTGTCTGTAGTCAGTCCCCGCAGTGCCTTTTCAGAGTGAAAGCAGTGTTTACATTGAGGTCTAGTAACACCTCTAGTGGCAGTCACTCATATCCTGTGACAAGGATTATATTGTCAGAAGCGATTAGAACAGAGCCAATAGTTGGCTCCTTGTTTGTGACTGTATTTCTAACAAATTATTGCATCTGCTTTTGTTATATACAATATCACAGTATATCATTTCATATATCAGAGCCTTTCCAAACCGGTGAATACATTGAACTACCCAGGACAACTACCACCCTTATAACAAGGACTACTTTTGTAACTACTTAGCTAAGTTACTATTAATCTGTGATACTTTACTATTTAAAGTACCCTTATTTTATTGTTGTTTTGGCGCAACCCGTTTCTTTATTCTTTATAGAACGCATGCTACCTAGGCTAACATACTTCTTTGCAAACCGATGATGCCAGATAGTCAAGAATTGCAGTTTATTTTAATACTTAATTCATTGTTATTCCAATAAAAAAAAAAAAGTATTACAAAAAAGAAATACTTCATTATTTTGTATCTATACTACCAGAGTAATACAGCAACTCAAATATCATGGCTTTCAGGCTGATGCGGATCACTAGGAAGACACATTGTGATATGCTTATTATGAGACTGCCCCCTTCTGTCCAAATTTAATACAACTCAATGTATGCAGGCTCAAGGTGAAGGGGTCCATACCCAAAGTTAATGTGTAGATAAAGTGTAATCAACCATTGGCAAAGCATCAAGGGAGATGTAGTTCAGAACATCTGGAGTGACGAATGATGCCTACACCTGTAAATTCTCACAATTTCTGAGAATGGACAAATTCTCATGATGGACAAGCAGATTACCATACTGAACAGACACATGTCTTGGATCTCAGGTTAAATGAAACAAGAGATTAAAGGGTCTATTTTCAGAGTCAGTTGGTGAATTCTAAGGGGAGTAAGACCAGCTTCTCAGGGTGAATGGACATATTTGTGAAATGATGAGCTAAAAACAACGTATGAATGGGGAAATGGTTTTATTCACTAGAAACTGTAATGTTGTGAATAAACTGCCAAAGTCAGCTGTGACTATAGCCAGATTGGAGAATTTATTCAAATCAACAATCTTTGCCCAACAGGCTTATTCACTAAAGAAGGAAATCAAAGTGAATTTCAATTTTAAGATCAAAGTGGTCTGGATGTTTATAGTGTACCTTTAAATTTAAACTACACTTTCAACTCTCACCTTAGTAAACACGTCTGTAAACGTTGAAATTTGTGTTAAAGGACCACTCTAGGCACCCAGACACCTTCAGCTAGGGTTAACACCCCTTTTTTTTTTTTAAATAAACATAGCAGTTTCAGATAAACTGCTATGTTTATAAATGGGTTAATCCAGCCTCCAAATCCTCTAGTGGCTGTCTCATTGACAGCCGCTAGAGGCGCTTGCGTGATTCTCACTGTGAAAATCACAGTGAGAACACGCAAGCGTCCATAGGAAAGCATTGTAAATGCTTTCCTATGAGACCGACTGAATGCGCGCGCATTCAGCCGAAAGGGAGGATCGGAGGCGGAGAGCTGCACTTGGATAAATCTCATCTACAAGTTGTATAACAGAAATCTGCATGAATGCAGAATTGTCAGATCAGTGTTACTACCTACGGCAGTGGAGACCATTTGAGGACGCAGCAGGGTTATTTGGTATAACAATATAGCTTTATAACATCAAGATCCATCCTTAAACAATAGTAAAGATCAAGACAACTACTTTGGATAAAAAACACAAACATAAATTGAGAATTATGTTAGATTTGCCCATCAGACCATAATAATAATAAAACAAGAAAAAAAAACATATATAGTATGGTTGACCTAATACCACAATCAGGATTATTCAGTAAACCGTGACTTGTTGGGATTTCACCAGGGAATTTCAAAATTTGATTTGATTTCTTAACACCTCACACGGGGTTATTCACCAAACTGTGAATTGTCGAGAATTCTAAGTGAATTTCTCAAGTTGGCTGACAGTAGTTGAACTGGACAAATTCTCCAATGTAGCTATGTTTTAATTTTCTGCAGTTTTTGCCCAAAATGTTAAATTCATGTGGAAATTCTAGCAATTCTCACTTTAGAGCATAACCCTGCACGTTTAGTATATATCCCTACCGGTAAGGCACACAGAGTATCCACATGTTAACAGTCCCATGATTCCCGTTCTAGGTGTCACTTAATACAATTCAATAGTATGCCGTCATTATAACATGCCAGCTGTGATTACTTAACCTACCAATACTAGTACATAACACACAAGCAAGCCTTCACAGTTCCAATTCACAAGTCATTTTTGGAGTAGAAGCATTGTGTCAGAGATGGAAGGAGTAGGATATGATATCTTGGCCTCGAATCAGTGCTTCTTTTTCCACTCCAAGAGGTGTCTGTAGGTCGGACACCTGAAAGTTGTTTGCCTCCATGTCACAAGCATTAAAGCGTCCAGCACTGACGGTGACACGCTGGTACAGGGTGAAGGTAACCGGGAGTCCAGCAGATGCCAGGAGACTACGGAGAAAGTGTTGGCGGAGGGTAGAGCGGGCTTTTTGGTGCGTTACTGGAGGACACAGGGCCAGAGCACGGGGTGAAGAGGGATCAAAACCACGGCCATTGGGAGATGGTGCACGTGGGAGGCGCAATATGGGAACCTGTGGTAGAAGAGGAGGATCCTAGGGGAGAAACAGATAAAGAGGAATTAATGTTATAGTGAAAGTAACATTTTAGAACAGGAGAAATGAAGAACAAACTAAAGTTTAAAGAGAACACACTCCTCCCCCCACTGGCATCAGCTGCGCGCGTTCTAGACCTCCCCACAGGAAAGCATTATTCAGTGCTTTCCTATGGGGATTCCAGCAAAAGAACCCGAAAGTCCCTCTAGTGGCGGTCCGATAGCCACTAGAGGAGGACTTAACCCTGCAAGGTAATTATTGCAGTTTATAAGAACTACACTTGCAGGGTTAAGGATGATGGGAGTTGGCATTGGCTGCCCATTGGAGTGGTCTGGGTGTCTGGAGTGTCCCTTTAAGGACATACTTAAAACCGAGATAAATCTCAGTGTGTCCTTCCTGGTAAAATATTTTATAAATAAATAAATGTGATGGACATGGCACCCAGACCTCTTCATTGAAATGACTAGTCTGGGTGCCTATAGTGTCCCTTTAAGTGTGTTACTATTTATTAAGTTCGGGGAATTCTGTCATTTTTATACTAACATTACCAGTATGTGAACCAGAATGGGCACAGGGTAGGAACCTTATTTCCCACATTGTTATTTTAAATACAGACATGTTAAATATATCAATATATAATCTGGCTCTGCACTGAGGAAACTACAAAGTGCAGGGGTTTTATTACCTAAACCATGAATTGCAGTGGATTTAAAAAAGGTATTTCCACAAAGTGGCCAAATTGGCAAAATTGGGGATTTTTTCCTCCCCAAAATCCATTTTGGGTCGGTACCAGTATCTCCTGGCACCATAACCACTACAGCAAGTTGTATTAAATTATAGTCCGTAGACTGTCCCTTTAAGCCCTCAGGAATCCTTCAGTATAGCCAGCACTTTTACACACTATAGGGCAGCACTTGTAATTAAAGCATTATGATCCCAAAGTTACAGGGTAGCACTTTTCCTGTGCTGCCCATCTACATGACAATTGTGAGTGTCCAGGGCACCATGGATTATGGCAACCCTATACTCCACACTGAGCCATGGAAAACCCAGCCAGGGGGTAACATGACATATCTCTATAGTAAAAAGCAATAAAATAACAATTAGCACGTGGTTTGGTGTATTGTGGCCACTAAGCCAAACAGCTGGAATGGCCAAAGTGGCTAATCCCTGTGACCCTCACTATGAAGCAAGCATTAATTAGCAGAGGAGCCTCACGTTTGATTCCTTCATGCTTTAATTAGCAGCTCTGCCCAGCACACAGTAACCAGACCCTTCATGTGGCACCAGGAAATCATTACCGGAAATTGTGGCTGCAGTTTACTCTCAGTCCCTTCGGCTTCATTCCCCCACTGTGTGCATCATTATTTGTTGACGGGTGGGAACAGAGGACGGGATCGCCTGTCTTTTCAGTTCCTATTCCGAAGTTCCCATTTCAGAACTGCAGCGCTTTAGCGACACCTAGTGCTGGAAACAAACCTTGCACAATTCGTGTAATCTGTCTCCCAGAGACCTGGATACATACAGTATTGCCCAAGACAGCTGCCTGTGCCTTTCATTTTAAATTCCCTTTTGACTAAGTTTGAATCACAGATAATTCTCACCTAAGCAAACTGCCCTAAAATCCTAGCCGAGTTACGGAATGATTGGTTTAACCTGTGTTTTGCTATTCAGAATTTTTATTTCTACCAATAAAAGTTCAGTGAGTTATTATTATTATTTTATTATTTACAAAGCGCCATCAGATTCCGTAGCGCTGTACTTAACAATAGATCTTATTGCTGCATACATTGAGCTGTTGTGACAGATTATACCCATCCTCCAAACCATAATGCTACAATAATAATTAAACATTAAAATAATTCAAATCTCTTAAATGTATTGTTATGGTTTACCTATTATTACTAAACTATTCAATAAACCGTGATTGCTATTTCATCTGGGAACTTCAAATGTTTCCAGGTGAGATACTTTGACCTTACATTTGCAGTTCTTTCTCATACAGGACTATTTACTAAAATAATGGCATTTTAAAAGCACTCAGAGCTAGATCTCATATTATTCTGTCTGTTTTTTTCAATTATCCTGTATTTCGGGAAGGAACCATTCTTACGCAGGTCTTGCTGTTAAGGAGTCACTTCACGCTTGTATATCATTAACTGACAATTTCAAAGGGACACTATAGTCACCAGAGCAACTACAGCTTATTATATTTGTTCTGGTGGGTAGAATCATTCCCTTCCCCTCTTTTTACAGTAAACACTGCCGTTTCAGTGAAAATGAAGTGTTTACATTACAGCCTAGGGATACCTCCACTGGCCACTTGTCAGATGGCTACTAGAGGTGCTTTCTGGGGCAGTAATGCACAGTGTGCAGCACTACCATTCATTTTCTCTACCCTCTGCATGCAGACACTGAACTTTTCTCATAAAGATGCATCTGTATGAGGAGATGCTGCTTGGCGAGGGCGGTGTTTGGCTTTGCCCCCCGGCCTGCCTCCTTGTCTGAGATCATCAGAATGGACAATCTAAGCCAATCCAATGCTTTGATATGGGAAAGCATTGTGATTGGCTGAGTTCATCACTTATGATGATGCCAATCAAGGAGGCAGATCAAGGGTAGAGCCAACACCAGCACACTGGAATAAAGGTAAGATTTCACTATATTTAGAGAGGCATAAGGGGAGACAGGGGGTTAGATGGTGTTTTTAACACTATAGGGTCAGGAATACATATTTGTGTTCCTGGCCCTATAGTATTCCTTTAAGTTTTTTTTCTCTTATCTCCCACACCCTATTTCCATACTTCTTTCTCCTGTCTCATTTCCTTCTGTTGTCATACTGTTTCACATTGTGAATTATGTGTCAATAATAATTATGATGTATTTGGTTATAGTTTTCCCTTTGCACCTTTACAGTATGTATAGCAATATCTAGATAGACATTCTACATGAGAAAAAATAGGGAACATTTGTTGTGACTTTCTAGTCTCAAACTTGCAACTTTTTATTTTAACATTTGTATCTTAGAAATGTCACAATTGTTCCATCCCTTTTTATAATTCAACTGCATTTATTTTTATACATAATATGCAACAAGGGGGCGGGGCCGGGCCGCCGGGCCGACTGGTCGCCATCCACATGGGCTCCAGCAACGAACCGCCCGAAACAGCATTAAACATACCCAAACCCACTCAAAGAATAGCAAAATTTGCCGCATCGGAAAGTGGGAAAGCACCGACACCGACCCGAAACCCGCATGAAGCTGATCGTGTGGCAGGCAGGCGGAGAAGATTGGGTTCGGCCTACATACAGCCTCTGAGTACCGGCTGCCATTGCAGTAAAAGGGCGCAACACATAACCAATCCGCAGCAGGGAAAGCATCCCGGACGTGTGGAGACCCTTGGCCTGGGGCACGGCCCCGCTTTCCCCCCCCCGGCCGGTGGGGGATATCCCGGCCACATGGCGGCGACAGAAGCCACGACGGGAGTCCCCACGTGGACACTATGCCGGCTACCTAAACTGGCACTGGCAGAGAGACGGCCAGCCAGCTGTACCAGACATCAACACCGAGGAGGAAAATACTAAACGGTGAAATCATCCCGGCAGGGACGGAGGAGGATCACACAGACACTGAAGCTCAGGAGGGTGGGGTTCCGACGCAGCTGCGCCATACTACCAACATGGCTTCTCCTCACAGGCACCATTGTAAGTGGAGAGCAGAGGCACCAAAGCTCACCGAGGGGAGTCGACATGGACGGCCGGGGCGGACCACGGTGCTGCCGGGCCCCTGAGGGACCCTCTGCGATGCCTGCCGGCCAGCAGGAAAAGTGAGTGTCCGGGCCTCTGGGTCTGGGAGGTCCCCAGAGGGCCATGTCCCTGGAGCCGAGAGCCCTGTGGGGCGGGACTGCGCGGCCCTCCCGGCGGACCGGTGGCCGGGAGCGGCGTGCACCGGTCCCAAGTGTGAGGCCGGTACCGGGAGAGACACTGGGACACAATCTTCGCTGGGTCTGGGGCGGTGATGGGGAGGTGCAGGGAGCGGGTGGCCCCGGACTCTAGGTGTGGGGGTCCAGCGGGCCATGTCGGCCACCGAGTGCCCACAGCATCGCAAAGGACTCAGGTGTTGGGCTGGGACCGTCCCGGGGGGACACTGACGGAGACCCGGCGCCCCGGGTGGCGCACCACGGCCAAACCATGAGGGGCCCTTATCGGACAGACATTACAATTGGCTCTGCTCCTACACCGTTATAGTTATTATAGTTATTTGTCTATGCATTCCCTAATACCGCATGCCAGAAATATGACACGCCATGAGCCACCAATACACTATACATAATTGGTTAATTGAAGCGATATGGGATGACAATGGCGGTAAAAGTCGCTTACCACTGCGCACACGACAACCCTACTCCTTAGGTTAAAAACTTGACAGATACTATTTCTTAATGGGTCTACCACTAATTACATATGCGGTGTTATCTATATGACCCAAGAGATGTTATTAATATAACAAGTTACTTACAGAATCATCTAGTAATCCACAGATTCATTATGTTACCATTATCAGTTAATACATAAAGATTACTTAGGGGCTTTTATTCATGTTCATAGTTAATGCCGTTTTAATGCAAACAAGTTTTCAAGGGATAGCTCGCACTAGTGCCTTAACAGCTGCATTTAGTCCGTATCTATTTTGCTTATATGATGCTGTTTCTGAATTACCAAAGGAACGGGCAGTTAACGCTAAAATGCCCAAAGGGGCCATAGGTAGCTACTGCTGCATATTAGATCACTGACTGCCACATGATAGACGGTACAGTCGCTTCTTGATTTAAACCTGATATCCAAATAGCTCTATTATCTATTAAGGCAGCAGACTGCAAACAAATATGCCCCTTATGCTGAAAATTGAAAAAGTTTTTGTATCTTAGATTGTTCCTTCATGCCTGACTCTACTTAGCAAGCTGATTAATATGCCTCTACACAGGAGACAATGTGCATTCACCAACTAGCCAACACGCAGCACTGACATACACTAATTAACATAAAACAATTACCTAACGCAATAATTGAACCAATAAGGCAATACGGTACATAAGAGCATACAACACAAAGCAACCACCTGTGAACAAAAACTCAGGTTAAGACAATTCCGCTCCTACGCAGGCAACTAAAGGTATATGCAATGTTAAACTAATATCTGAGCCCCTGCGTGGGCAATCACTTGCTTTACTACAAATCCATTTGATGTATGACTTTATATTGTGCACACAATAAAAATATTCAACACATAATATGCAACAAAGTAAACCATGACTAGATAACTCTTCTATTTGCAACAGTTGGTATACAAGCACATGCTTGGATGGAAACACTTTTTACACCTAACCCACAATTGTGTCCAGTTGATATACCGTCTAATATTATAACATCCCCTATTGTAATGGTTTCTCCTATTGTCATAGTGTTTCTTATTATCATAACGTCTCCTGTATTCATATTGTCTCCTGTCGTAGTACTGTCTTCTACCTTCAAACTTTCTCTTGTTGTCATAATAACTTCTATTGTCAGATTGCATCATATGTTTGTGATTGTCTTTGGCTTTTTTTTGTAATGTCTTTAGACAAGAGATCTGCAACTTCTGCAAGCTGCTTTAGATACACCCCTTATACAAAAACGCATAATTAAAAGCATGCAAGTTTTCATTGGTGTTTATCTACTAAACAGGGATATTTTTTTTTTTTTTTTTTCGGCGGTGTAATGTCCCTTTAATCTCCCGTTGAACCTCCTTTTGATTTGTCTTCATTATTTAGAGCATCTACCAAACACACACTTCCCAGCAGACCTACTTCACGTGTACCTCCACTACCTCAATGTCCTGCCTTTGATGATGCCCTTCATTACCAGGTTCCTTCCTGTACATCTCTCCCTCCTTCTCACTCTCCACCCAACACTCATCTCTGCCTTCACCAGTTTCTTGCCTGTCTTTCCTTCCACCCTTCACAAATTCCTCTGTACAACACTCTTTATCCTCGTTTTTACAAGTACCACCATCTTTCTTGTTGTCCTTCGTAGAATCATCTACTTTCACATCAACCTCAACTTTATCCTTATCACCATCTTTCTCAGTCTCGGTCTTATTTAAATTCCCCTCCCTAATAACTTCTGATATCTTGCTCTCAACCACTTTCCAGTCATTCTGAAGATTGTTTATACCCCGTTGTAGTCCCATTTTCTGCTTTATGGAAGAGTCCAAATTTACAGTGCATGGAATCAATCTCATTGCCTCTTCCACCGTGAAGGGGAAGTCCTGAGACAAAAACCTCTGAAAAATTTCAGGGTCTGCATCCAAATCCAGAAGATTCTTTAGTGCTGTCTTCAAAGCAAAGAGTTCCTTGCTGTTTTCCTTGAACACATCCCAAAGGAAGCAGTTAGAGAACCCATCCTTAGAACCTCTCTGGTCCTCATCCTCCAGACACTGTAATATCCAGCTTAACCGGCATGGCCACTGATTGCAAAGTACTACCCATGCTGCCACAGATCTGGCTGATTGTCGATCCCATGGAATACGGCTCAACATCATCAGATGGACCATCACTGGAATAGTATTGACAATCCTCTTCATCTGGCAAATACTGTCGGGAATGTATTCGTTTAGAACCTCGCGTTCGCTATATAAGCAGTAAAATGTCTCCTGAATTGAACGTCCTGCTTGAATGTTGGATTCCTTTGTCTCTGGCTCATCATCTTCTGATAATTCACCCCTCAAAAGCCTCACAGACTCTGCAATACCAGTCTTAGTTCCACGATTTGCATCATTTCGACTGGGCCAGTCTATGAGATCCTCAGTCCTCTGAACAGCCTTCTTCAGAAGATGAAGTTTTGTCCTCTTGCCTAATGCTGGCACAGAAAATGGCAGAGTAACGGTGCGGTTTAAGAACATGTATCCATTGTCTGCCATGCCTTTCAGAGAACTTGCACTTTCCAGACAAGTAACAATAATGCTGGGATCTACTACCAATATGGAAATGAAGGGGGATTTGCGATCTGATAGTAGGGTGTTCATAGCATCTAGCACCCCTACCACCTTGTCAGGAGCACAAAGTTCTAGACACGTGATTTGCAAAACCACACGGATCTTCTGCTTTTGAAAGATCTCCATGCACTGGACCATCTGAGTGACAATTTCAACTTCTTTCTTTACCTCATTCATGAAGCCCATTTGGGAGCTGAACTTCTGACTGTTAACTAGTCGTTCAATCTTCTGCTTTTGACTGATTAGGACACCTTTACACAGCTTATACAAAGTCATAATTATACTTGAACCTGACAGCACAGTTACAATACTCCCAAAAACTGTAGTGGTCGTCTCACTGTCTCCAGGAGTCCCCGAAGTCACTGGCACAATCAGAAGAACTAATCCAATGATAAATAAGAGTAAAACGACCACAAGGATAATGCAGAAAGTCTTTTTGAAAATCCATTCAATGAGACTGTTTTCACCCTCATTTTCTCTCTTAGGTGCCGATCCTAGAACTTTGAAAATACTCAATGGGACGACACCAAAGTGGCGTCGAATCTGATCACAGAGGGTAGTGACTAGACCGGCCCAGAGACGGTCACTGCCTGCATACTGCCAGGCACTGAAATTCACAAAGATAAACTCAATGCTTTTCCGTCCAAGATGGCGGTTTGTAATGAGAGGGCGATAGAAAAGAAGACACCAGAGCAGACGAAAGAATCCCCATCCCACCGGCTTATCAGTGACATGTCCTACAGCTTTTTCTTCCTTTTCGGTGACACGTAATGCCTCTTCCCTCATGCACTCTGAAAGGTATAAGCAATGAGTTAGCTCCGCAGCAAGAGAACAAATCAAATCTGACAATGATCTATACAGTGATAATATTTTAAATTATTTTTATAGGTTTTTTTTCATTAGTATATATGCATGTCTTTCAGCTATATGCAATGGTAGATTGCGAAAAATGGAAATATATATAAGATATCCAAAATAAAAATGAAAGCACATTATGATGGATGAAAATAAGTTTTTTAATGTTGCACTATGCCATATTCTTTAAAACCAAAACAAACAAAAAAGAACAAAAATAAGCCCCAGAGCAATGGCTGCATTGTTGTTAATTGTGAAGTAAAGCTGCTGTAATGGCATTTATACATGTAGAAAAGATAATAAAAGCCACGTTTGGACTCTGTATTTGGACTCTACTACAATGTTAACATTTCAAAAGCACGCCAACTGGAAATATAGAGAGTCTACGGAAGAGTACGAAATGAGAGAAAATTATACCATTTTATAGATCACCGGGAATACTTCCTTTCACTCATATTCACATTTTTTTCAGAAAAGATATAAACTTATCTGGGATCTTTTAAATAAATGATATTTATAAATACTATGAGAACAGGCAACAATCAATACAAAAATACAAATGAGTATTTTGTTAATTCCACCTGTTATTAAAGGACCACTATAGGCACCCAGATCACTTCAGTTAATTGAAGTGGTCTGTGTGCCAGGTCCAGCTAGGATTAACCCTTTCTTCTATAAACATAGCAGTTTCAGAGAAACTGCTATGTTTATAAATGGGTTAATCCAGCCTCCGGTGACTGTCTCTTGACAGCCGCTAGAGGCGCTTGCGTGCTTCTCACGGTGAAAATCACAGTGAGAAGACGCCAGCGTCCATAGGAAAGCATTGAGAATGCTTTCCTATGGACTGGCTGAATGTGCGCGCGGCTCTTGCCGTGCATGCACATTCAGCCGAAGAGGAGGAGAAGAGGGAGGAGAGGAGGAGCAGAGCTCCCCACCCGGCGCTGGAAAAAGAGGTAAGTTTAACCCCTTCCTCTCCATTCAGCCCGGCGGGAGGGGGACCCTGAGGGTGGGGGCACCCTCAGGGCACTATAGTGCCAGAAAAACGAGTATGTTTTCCTGGCACTATAGTGGTCCTTTAATATACACTTGGAGCATAGTTACAGATCGAAATTTGTAAATCAGTGCAATATTTTTGAGAAGGCCTGGTAAGTCTTGTACTCTACTGAATTGTATATGACTTCAGCAAAATGTGGTAAAGAATTCCACTCTCCTCATATGCAAAATATTGGGTGTATTAGTGACTTCTGCTTTATGTAGTGATTTTTTACTTTGGGCATCACTTTATTTTGCTTACTTGTAATGCGATCCAGTAGAATGTAAACACGACCTCCAAATGGGGCGTATAATCCGACAGTCACTGGCGTGGATATCTGGCATAAGGATTTGGAGAGGCAGGCGCAGTAGATATCATCTTCTGTCTGCTTACCTGTAAGAGAAATATCAAGCCAGGTGAGACCTCCCCATTCACCTCAATGGGGTGCAGACATACTGCAACAGTGGAAACTGGCTCCCAAATTGGGACTGTCCCAATGAATCTGGGACACTTGGGAGATATGCTCATACGCAAACAAAACAAGGTCTTGTCTGTCAGCAATGCTTATTTGTATGCAAACACTTTATATAAATAAAAATATTACCTTGTGTTATTATTCTCGCTGACATGTCTTTGCCGGTTTTAGCTTCACTATCCACAACAGCAATTTGATTCTTTCATAGTGCTAAAATAAGAAAAAAAAAAAAAAAAAAGAAGGAAATGTATTTAATTTAAATAATATATTATTTCTATCACAGATCTATGGTTTGCGGATTTTGTACAGGACTGATAACTGATCATTTCCTTAGGACGCATATCATCTAATATTGGGAAGTATGATAGTGAGTTGGGTAGGGGCATGGTCAAAATGTGTGTTTTCTAATGATATAATGGGCATTTTTCTAAACCCCTACATTTATTAACTCTTAATATTAAGTGTGTAGGGATTTAGAAAAATAACCCTTACTGTCTCAGAGATTTTACCTTTTAGCTAAAAGCAGCAAGGTGAATTGTTAGCAGAGTACTTAAGGTTTTTCCTTGATTTGGCAGGTGAGCTTACACTCGAATGGCCACTGGAATGATACTAAAAACATCCATATATTTACATTTACATAGAGATTTTAGATAGTGTGCAAGTATCTTTTTTCTTTGGTTTTTATTGTATATCTTTCGGGGGCAGATGTGTACTATAGTCATTGCTGTCGCCCAGGAGTAGTGAGAGTTTGAGTACAGGGCTTAATTTTGAAATATATTATATTCACTGATGCACTTTCAATTTATTTCCCTGAGTGCAGTCAGTGGTGCTTCTAGAAGATGACCAGCAGATATGGGATGGAGGACAGATATGTGTCCCAAACTGGGACAGTTTCACCATTTAAAGGACTTTTGGGAGTTATGAAGATGGGTTGATAAGACCACAGTTCTGCATACAATGGACTGGCTGATCTTGGGATTTATTGTCCAACTTAGCAAAATGGCAACAGACTGACAAAACTACACTTAAAGATGCCATTTCACATAAACACAAAAAATAAAAACAAAAATAAGCTTCTACTGCAGCCTGAGTTATATGAGGGTGCAGGGGGAAAAAGAGTCTGTCATTAAATTCTAATGTCGCACAGTTCCCTCATTGTGGACCAATCTCTGAGAAACCGCCCAGTTTGTGGTCATGTTTGTACTGTTGGAAGACACAAACAAAACAAGACAGAAGTGGCAAACTTGTAAAAGTTTCAGAGTGGGACCAACATCACATACTGTAGTTCCGTCACCAAGAAACATTTCATGTAGGTCATCTCAGTCAGCCTAGGATGACTAACAGTGATTTCAATATTTACCTATCTTTATATATAGAATGAAACAAAAACACATATTAGTCAGTGCAGCCTCACCCACCATGTCTTCCTAACCCTGTGGTGGAAATTCTTTAGTTACTTAACATCTTTATCTCTGTTATGATGAGGTAATGTGGGAACGGCCCATCGGAAACTGGAAATGGCGAGTGTGGCAATCACTCGCCTCAAAACGCGTATTAATAAAGTATTTAGAGATCTGAGTACTGTACATGTTTGGTTGTGGCCTTTTGAACAAACAAATTCTCTGTAAAGTAAACCTTTTATGACATTTTATTATAGAGATAAATTACATATTTAACTGATTTCATTTTAGATATTAACACATTCTACTTTGGCGTCAGACCTGCCATGACTGCTGGTCTGCCCACCTGTGTTCCTCCCGCGCTCTGATTTGATTTGACGCTGACACACTGATCTCATTGCAACTGAACAGAGTGACATCAGTCACTCCATTTTATGTTACCTCAGGAAGCGCAAGAACAGCTGATCAGGGAGTAACCATGGTAACAATGGTATCTGTAGGAGGGTTCTCCTGCTCTCCACTGTCAGTTAATTCTCAGCATACAGGTCTAGGCTTATTCTGTGCCAAATAATTGATTGGCAGGTGGGGGAACAACTTATTTTTAAAGTTCTTTTTTAAATATGTACATTTGATGGAAATTCGGCAACAAAACGCTCAATAGTGTTGTGCGTATGTGTGTGAACGCCACTGCTCTAAATCTCACAGCAATGAGTGTTGTGTGAGTGTATTATAGAACTACACAGCATTGACATTGACGTGGCCTTGGATTAATATATTTTGGATAAGCTTTTCAAATAATTTAACATTTCTAGATAAACTTTAAAAAAAAAATATTTAGATATTTTTTGATACATTGATTTTTTATGTATATATTGATATAAATATTTATATATTTTTGCTATTTTCATAAAATATTAATTGAGGGCCGTCTGTGTTTAACGCACAGAGAATATATATTTGCATAATTTATGTCCATTAAATGCTTCAGTCTTGTTTTACATGATTAATTACATACATCGCTTTCAATAGCTAACACTCACTAGTGCCTTCCTCCTTCACGTTTTAAATACGGAGAGATATGGTAATGTTTTAAATACAGCAGAGCATGATGGGATGGTATATCCACAAATATGTTATTGTGCATAATTATTTGTCTCTTACCCCAAATCCCCCTATATTTAACATTATCTTATTTTCCTTTTTCTCATTCTTCTCCCCGTTTCCTCGTCTCCCTTTTTATTGCCATGTATGTAAACAAATATTTTGTGTCTTACAGTTAATAACATACAATTAAGCATATAATTATAGAGGTATTCCTGTTGGCAATTTGAAGGCAAATTCTCTAACACCTCCACAACGCTAATTGCTTCCTCCTCCTCGTGCCGTGCTGTGTCTAGTGTGTCCTAATTTCGAATGTTTTTAACGAACAAGGAAAGATGCAGATAATAAATACTTTTGAAACATTGAGGTTTATTCACTAAACAGCGACACGAACCAGATTGCGAAATTTAGGTAAAAATATGTATTATGGAGAAATTCTCCAAGAGAGTTATAATCTAGGCTTGGCTATTTCAGACACTTGATTTTGAATTTGCTACAATTCACTGTTTAATGAATAAATCTCAGTATGATTTTATTAAACAAATAGATTATAAATCATACAATTCTGTTAAATATAAGCCGTTTTCAATCTTGGGATAAATATGAACGTCTTTTTTTATTTCTTTGTTTTATAAAGTGCCACAGCAGATTCTGTTACTCTGTAACACGGTTACAGACGTATTGATGTTTAATAGATATCACATAAAGTTTCCACAAAATACACATAGTGGCAGTGGCGAAACTACTGCCGGTGCAGCGGGCAGGCAAGCTCAAGGAGCCTATCGGGTTGCCCATGCACTTGGGGCCACCTGATGGTCATCTTTGATCAGCACACAGTGTACACAGAGTTAAAGCAGCAGGATACTATAGACTCCTCATTACCTTTGCAGTTGGCAATATAATTAATCTGTAGTGGTAATATGGAGCCAAGAAGTAGCTGACATGATTAGCAGAATTAACAATCATTTCAGATTAAAACAGTCTGAACCCAGAATCAGTTCAGTCCTCTGAGTCACAGCCACAGTCCTGCAGTTTGAAGCTTCACATCTTTTCAAATAGCCACAGCATGAGTGTCTCAGGTCTCAGCTGTAGAGTGACTGAACTCTTTAAAGACAATGGTGGGTACATGCAGCAGGAGTTATTAAAACTATTAGTGACAGACAGCACATTACTCTGTGTCAGAAATGCCCCCTCCCCTTGTCACCCATGGCTTTATATAAATTTATATTTTTGAGTAAATTCCCTTTGCGTAAGCAGCCCTTAGGAAAGGGATATTAGGGGGGACAAAAAGATAACATTATACATTTACATTTGGCAGGGGCTAGGAGCTGCTGCAGCTGTGCTCTTTCTGTGTTACATCTAAGATGGCGTCTTGCCTCTCTCTCCTGCGTACACTGTAACCCCACCTCCTGGTGCTATCAGCCAATGATGGCCCCTGAAAAGACATGCTGCCACGCATGGGCAGCTGGCTCTGTTGTCTGAATGGCAACTCAATTGAAATTCCTAAAATTTCTACTTAAAGGACACTGGGCATGTGCAAAACCTGCTGAAACAGGGCAGATTTCAAACCAGCCCCATTGTTTAGACATGCCTAGATCCTCTCTAGTCAGCTTCTACAAACAGCTACCAATGTGGGGGGAGGGTCCTGCAGAAGTAAAACCTATTACAAAGTTAAAGAGACATAAATTTTTTCCATACTGTTTTTGCTTGCCACCCTCCTCTCCAGAAAAATTATCTTACTGTTTCTAAACTATCGCAAACACGTTTTCCCACATAAAAACTGGTGGGGCACCCCTATTGATGAGCCTCCATTGGGAGGCAGCCTCTTCCCCCACCACCACCAATATATCAGACCCATTCACTGTTTGATTTTTGTTTTTAACATTATACCCGCCATCTTTTTGCTTGTGGTTGGCTACTCGATTTCCCACAAGTTCGCTTTTAGTCTGTTGGACAAGAAAGTCTTGAGATTACTTTTTATTTTATTTTAAAACAGCTTAACTTGGCTTATTGTCTACACTACATATTATTTTATTACTTTATCACAGAGGATCAGGAAGGACATCTGTACTATCAATAAAACAGTATTAAGGTAAACCCCCATGCAGTGTGTGACAATTTCTTTTCCAAGTAGCTACTGCTACTAAAACTTTATGACACATTTGCTAACTCAACACAAGTCACTCTTTACTACATGTGTAAAAACAACATATTTTTTTACATCCAAAACCTTTTTTTGTGCGCTTGTGACCAATGGCACATAATCCTTCTTTATAAATATGTCTATTGGGGGCGTGGTCTGAGGTCGGAGCGAGCTGGACGCACCCGCCGGGACTGCCGGACCAACAGCTAATAAAAGCGGCAGAACTAAATAAAATCAACAAGGGGGGAACCCTGTAAAATCTGGTTGGAACGATCGATGTAAAATCTTCTTAATTTCGTCTTGTCGTCAGTTGATTGATATATATATGTCTTTTGTACATATAGTCTTGGGCCAAATGCTCGCGACATTATAATGAAAAGTACTAATACGCAATCTGACTTATGGTTTCTTCAGGTTTATTCTTAGTTACTGATACATAATAAAACAACAAATGATGTTACAGGATAATGAATGTTCAACAGCAGATGGTAATTGCTGGACTCCTGACGGGAGAGTTACATCCTTACATCTTTCCATCAAAAGAGAGCTAGAGAGCCAAGAGAACGAGAGACCACGTGTTCAGTTACTATATAGATATGACCATATAAGGACAAAACCTCCAACTTACATTCCAGAGTTTCAGACAAAGAAAGCCTTGTGACTTATACCATCTGTTACTTATGTCAATCCACACATCCATGTATAATCAATAGAAACATAGAATATGCAATATTCTACAGAACCCGCGATGGATAAGAGGGCCCCAAGAAAGCAGATGGAAAAACAACCGGAGCAGGGCACAACGGTGTCGGACCTCTTTGCAGCCTCCCACGCCATGAGACTTACCACCCAAGATGGCGGACGGGATAGCCCTGGAGCACCTCGATCTCCCGCCAGCTCAGGATCTGGCGCTGCACCTGGCCCACAGGAGACGGAAGCTAAGCAGAATCTGGCAACCCTGGCAGAGGTGAGAACTTACCTGGCAACGGAGATAGCCAGGAATACCGCCGAAGTCAAGGTGGAAATCCAAGCACAGAGAGCGAGGACATTGGTCCTAGAGCAGAGAGTGGAGTGCACGGTGGAGGCCCACAATGAAGCCGCTGCACAAATCAGCCAACGAACAACCAGGTTAGCGGCGGCTGAATCTGCGCTAGACAATCTGGGCAACTGCTCACAACGAAATAACATTAGGCTGCGGGGACTGCCAGAACGGGGGGGAAGGCTCACTAACTGAAGTAGCCTCCTCCATATTGAAACCGCTCCTCCCAGGCATTGTGGAGAACCACTGGCACATCGAGAGGGCACACCGGGCGTTACGGGCTCGACGGGCGGATGACAACCGGCCCAGAGATGTCATAATTAAATTTCAATACTTTCAAATGAAAGAAGCCTTAATGTGTTGCAGCAGGGAAGGCCTGATTATACACAAAGGGGCGAAATTGGCCTTGTACCAGGACCTGACTCCAGATACCCTGTGAAGCGACGAGACTGGCGCCCAATTACTGACCTACTTCAACGACACTCCATCAAATATGAATGGGGCCATCCGTTTTGGCTGATGGCCTTCAAGGAGGGGCGCTCTAAGATCCTGCATCCAGATGGTGATCTGGTGGCTTTCCTCTGAGAGTTGGGGGTGCAGGCCCCGGGAGATCTAGCGGTCCCAGATACTGCAGCAGCGACTGTACACCCACTACCCCGCGATTGGTATACGGAGGGTGAGTGAGATCGGGGGGCAGGTGCTTCTAATTGGAGGCCGGTGAGTGGCGAGGGATGACCCCGGCAGGTCGGCTTAACGGGTGGGATTGTTGCCTGTAATTGGGAGGGAGAATTTAGGGGTGTGCCGCCTCATTGGGAGAGTAGCAGAAAGCTCTCCAGCTTCGGCCATAATTCCCTGGGTCGGCCCGAGGGGTCTCAATTCGGGGAGTTTCCATTCACTGTTGGGAGGGTTAGGGCTTACATTTCCTTGAGAGGGGCCGGCTATCCCTCTCCCTTCTGGGGCTCCAAGGGGAAAATCGGTTAATCCTATTTTATTTTATTTACACGGTTACCGACTGACGTACTGCGACCATGCCGGCCCATAGATGGGAACTTGGGGTTCAGATGAAGGATATTGTACAGGACTTAAGGTATGGCCAGGGGGAAATGGGCAGCGGGGTAGATTGCAAAACACAGGCCTCATAGATATCCGGACGATTGCGATTTTACGTTCTGTTCGGCACCCCATGATAACTTCTCAAGGATAGCCAAAACAAGATACACCTAGAAAAAAACAAAAGCAGAGAACATTCATAGGGAAACACCGTTTAGTAGAAAAGTCCCTGCTGTAAATATTGCACTCACAGAATAAAGGAATAATTCAAGCCCACCAAGGTTTCTTTAGATCTTGCAATGAAATTCCTCAAGGGTACATGCGAAAAAAACTGGACATAGTGTGAAATCTTAATAATATAAAAAACATGCTTTTATTTACCTGAGGGTCTTGGGCATAGTCTCTAAGCTGAATATATCTGAAAAAAATCAAAGGGTCTCAGAGGGCTTCTGGTTTGCAGTTCCACTTACAAGAAGTGGAAAATAAAAACGCCCATCAAAGATCTGTATCCCTCTCTCCAGAGTGGTGAATGGAAGAAGCAGCTAACAGGAATTGCAGGTAAAAATCAATACAGCTCTACGTGTTTCGTCTATACAATAGACTTCATCAGGAGCAGTAATAGTAAAACATATGATACAAGCAAATAAAATACATCAATAAAAATCCTATGTCTTCTGTCTTCTTTGAAAAGTCCCTCTCGCCGTATTCCACGCCCTGTCCACCAATCCGTGTGCTTCATAACACCTTTTCCGAGTTCTCTCGCGTCCAAGTCCATATAAGTACTTCTGGATATGCCTCAGTTTTATATGTGGACTCCTAAGGAACATAGACCAATCATTAGCGTGATCTGCCCAGCAATCTCAAACTCGCTGAAGATATGGGACGCAGCCGCCACAAAATATATCCTCCCTTTCTCCAATGATCTTGTTTCTTAAGGAACAAAGCATTCACACCAGGAATGACAGCCTGGGATTTCAGAGGCATAGAACACGCAGGGCTGCAAAGACTATATCACTTGTTCAAGGAGAGGTCATTTGTAACATTCGAGGAACTGCAAACCAGAACTCCTCTGAGACCCTTTGATTTTTTTCAGATATATTCAGCTTAGAGACCATGCCCAAGACCCTCAGGTAAAGAAAGCCGCAGGGACACAGATGACATTCTACGAGAGGATGTGTGCAAAGGAAAATTTTCCGGGCGGGTTGATCTCATATCTATACACGCATCTATGCAACAACACACTAGAATGGGGAGGAATTACATACATAGATCAGTGGGAGGCGGACTTGGGCGAGACATTGGAGGGTATAGAGAGGCAGGAAATGTAGGAGGTGGTCCTCTATGTGTGTCTCGCTGCAGGAACAATCATATAAGACGCTATTTCGATGGTATACTACACCAGTAAAATTATGCCGAATTAATAAAATTCCAACTGACCTATGCTGACCTATGCGGCCTAAAGGGAACATATCTCCACATGTGGTGGGAGTGCCCAATAGTACAGGTTTATTGGCAATAAGTTGCACAGATGCTGCGAAACGTATTTGAGAAAGAGATTAAGCTAGACCCATGGGTATTCCTACTGGCCAGATCTATAGAAAATTTGACGCAGCAGAAATTTTTTTAACGCAGCACAAACCTTATTACATATTTTGAATCTGGCCGCTAGGAGAGCTTTGGCACAGGTGTGGCTGCAGAGAGAGGCCCTCAGCCTTTCTGCGGTGATACAAAAAATTAAAGATACTTGCCTGATGCATGATCTAACAGCCCGGGTAAGAGGAACCACGAGAAAATTTGAAAAAATATGGGGCCCTTGGATAACTAGCACAGCGAATGCTTGACAGACCCACAATTGGAGGCTCCCCCGGACAGACCCATCTCGGACAGAGGCAAGCTCACTTGACACCCCTCGTGCCCCCCCCCCCACTCCTCTACCTTCTCTTGCCCCCCCCTTCCCTTATTCTTCTCACTATCTTATCATACTGTCCTATGTGAGAATCTCTCACGATCAATCTACTACTATTGTACGGTCTTTAATACAATGCATTACTAACTGATGTGGACACACGATCTCAAAAGCTAACGGATGGGAAACGAAACAAGAAATGGTTGCATTGTAATTTCAGCTATACATGTTTATGTTATACTTTTAATTAAAAAAAAAAAAAAAAAACACCAAGAAGGACAAGAACCCAGAGACGGGCTGTTTACTAATCTCACTATCTGTTACAACGAATTACAAATAGAAGAAAGAAACAAATGTTTAATTATTAGGAAAATGCGAGATAAACCTGACTGTGATAATATACTGTAATAACGTGTTATATCCTGTCTTGGATGTACTGTCTTGCCTTGGAATAAATAAAGAATTTAAAAATAAATAAATAAATATGTCTATTGTAAAAACAAAACAGAAACAAAAACTCTAAAAGAATTTAAACTATTTGGAGGGATTTAAATTGCATTGGTCATTCATGCCTCACATGAAAAAAGTGAAATAAGAAAATAAAATTCCATCGATACATTGTGCTAGTCAAATTTCTAGAAATGTAAGAAATGCCCAGTTATGCACATTTTCCCTTTTTATCTGATTAGCTTTTACCTCTATGCTCCTGGCATAGCAGTAAATACCGAGTCTACATGTGACTGAAGGTAGAGCCACAGCTCTGCACTGCCCCCTAGTGACATGGCAGAATCCACCAACTGCTAGGATTAACAGGAGTAACAAATCTTCAGGAGAATACATATTTAAGAAAAATAAAATGTATATTGTTGTGCTAAACAAATACATAATCACAACATAGTTTTTCAGTATTTAGAAGTTAAAAAAATATTTTTTTTTGTAAAAACATTTTTTTATCACAACTTTATATATTTTCTTCTCCTGGCGGCTTATTATATTAGGGTTTTTTCAGCCTTGAAGTATAGTTGCCTGTTCTATGTATGAGATAGGGTAAGAATATATATTTGCTGGCAGTTTCACTGCTACGTATATAGATTGATCAATGATGTAAGGTGAACTTGTCATACACAGAGTTAGTGAAAGAGTCTGAAATATAGAGTCTTCTAACAGAAAGACGGGCATACAGTCATTTGGATGAGTATAAACTGTTCTGACTGATACTGATCACTAGTGAGTGTGACTGTTTCATAGACAGTGAGTGTGGCTGTTAACTAGATAGTGAGTGTGACTGTTTCATAGACAGTGAGTGTGACTGTTAAATAGATAGTGAGTGTGACTGTTTCATAGACAGTGAGTGTGACTGTTTCATAGACAGTGAGTGTGTCTGTTTCATAGACAGTAAGTGTGTGAGTGTTTCATAGACAGTGAGTGTGACTGTTTCATAGACAGTGAGTGTGACTGTTTCATAGACAGTGAGTGTGTCTGTTTCATAGACAGTAAGTGTGTGAGTGTTTCATAGACAGTGAGTGTGACTGTTTCATAGACAGTGAGTGTGACTGTTTTATGGACAGTGAGTGTGACTCTTTCATAGGCACTGAGTGTGACTGTTTCATAGACAGTGAGTGTGACTGTTTTATGGACAGTGAGTGTGACTCTTTCATAGGAAGTGAGTGTGACTGTTTCATATACAGTGAGTGTGGCTACTACATAGAGAGTGAATGTGGCTGTTTAACAGATAGTGAGTGTGGCTGTTAAATAGACCGTGAGTGTGGCAGTTTTATAGACAGTTAATGCCTTCCAGTGAGTGGTGATATAAGAGTGTGATTTACTGACATTGTGTGTTATGTCCTAACAGTAAGGATAACTGTTTTACTCTGAGTGCATCTTGCTACTACTATGTGCTGCTAACTTAAAGTAAGTGTGACAATCTCAGTAATAGAGGGACTCCTCCACATTATGTTCTGTTTCTTTTTAAGTGAATATGGCTGTCTCCTAGTAAGTGTGACTGTCTCTCAATGAGTGCTGAGTTCTTCCTGTTAGTGCAGTTGTTTTACAGAAAGTGTAAGTGTGTCTGTCTCCCATTGAGTGTGGCTGTCTCTGTGAGCGTGGCTGTCTCTCAGTGAGTATGGCTGTCTCTCAGTGAGTGTGGCTGTGTCTCAATGATGGCTAGTTCCTTTAAGAAAGTGTGGCTTGATCTCAGTGTTGTTCTTCATTCAAGTGACGGTTGCCATTGCTTACTTACAGTGTTGCTGCCATCCAGTCTGCCATTCATTGAGTGTGGTAGCTAAAAGACATCATGGATGTAGTCCAGTGCGTTTTGGTTGTAAAAAAAAATAAATCTTGTCCTTAAATTGTCCAGATCACCTTCTATAAGTAAACCTGGTTTCTAGATTCTTTAAAATGCTGTAACAACATTAATTTCATCACTTTATGTATCTCCACCCTACTATCCATGCACTCCACCTCTGGATGAGTTTCCTCCCTCTCTGGCTGCTTTCGGAAGCTGTCTGGCCGGTTCATCCTGCTGTCTATAATAAGGGCATGTTTGGTTGCAATCCTACAATAAAGCATAATTACATTTTTTGTTAGAATACATACACTGAATACTAATTTATACCTTACATAATAAAACTTTTTGTAATCCTTTTGCTTTTTGTTTTTCTATAAATGGAATTTTCAGTTTTAATCCTGTGGACCAACTTATAAGATACTACATCATCATTATTTTATTTGTGAAAGAGCCCTCTGCTTATCTCATATGTCTAGGTGGTAGTAAAACTCTAAGGTTTGTCTGTGTGTGTGTCTGTGTGTGTGTATGTCTGTCTGTCTGTGTGTATGTACATGTAGGTTTATGTCCTTATCCCCAATTGTTTTTTTGTTTTTTTAATTTGCTTCTCTCATGTTCTACTGGAGTCTATGAATGGGTCAGATCTTTCTAGTTTTGTTACAATTCCAGGAAGGCAAAACTATTGATCAAAAAGAGAACCACGCTCGTTCAGTTGACCATCTTTGGGCGCCCCATGTCTTTATCTATTATTATTTTATTATTGATAAAGTGCTAACAAATTCCGTAGAGCTATCTGCCCTTCACCAGTAAGTTGCAAACGAGGAAAGTCCACCAAAAGGAATAGATACTTTGTCGTAAATACATTGCTCAAGATTGGAGACCTGTATGACCCAGGAGTAGGTTTTCACTTCCCAGAAGGAAGGATAGTTGGGTGTTATCCTCCTTTCCCTGATTTTACATTATGTATTTCTCAGTCCTTACCCTGCTTGCAAAATCCTGTTGCCTCTCTCACTTGAATATACATTCCAACAAACAAACCAGCCTGCTGGTTACATACAGATATCCTGGCATCCATTATGTTCATTGATAGCAGAACTGTTGCATTGCATAAAGCTGGAAAGGGTTACAAACTTATCTCAAAGAGATAAGGTATCCACCTGTCTACTCATAGACAAATTGTCTATAAATGGAGGCGATTTAGTACTGTGGATACTGTCTCTACAAGTGGCCATCCAGCCGCCGCACAATTCTCAGTGAGGTAAAAAAGAACCCTAGAGTGATAGCTAAAGACTTGACGAAAGCATTGGAACTGGTTAACATCTCCGATCATGAGTCTTCTATAGGAAAACATTGAACAGACATGGTATCCATGGAAAAACACCACAAAGAAGCCACTGCTTTCCAAAACAAAAACATTGCCGGGCTCCTAAAGGTTGCCAAAGGCTATCTTTACACTCCACAGCACTACTAGGAAAATGTTAAGTGGATGAAACTAAGGTTGAGTTGTTTGGGAAGGGCAAGCAGAACTATGTATGGTGTAAAAAGGGCGCCGCATACCAACGTGAAAATGCCACTCTAACGGTTACGTACCCTGTACAGAGCAGCATGATTTAGGGTTCCTTTGCTGTTTTAAGGACTGGACCACATGCCATCATCTAGGGAAAAATTTATTTATCACGTTTATCCTACAGGATAATATCAGGGTGGCTTGTGTCTGTCACAATTCAGGAACCTAACACGCTAACAGGTCACAGAGAGGAAGGGTGCTATACCGGTCCTTAGAGTGGCCGGGTTAAAGCACACTAAGAATAGTCAGGAGACAAGCCAAGTAAAGGGAGCCAGAAAACAGGAGAACGAGAAACAAGCCGAGGTCAAAGGAATGGAGAATACAGGAGAATCGAATAAACAAGCCAAATAATCGGTAACCAGAGAGAAACACGAGCAAACTGCAATACAGGTATCACAAGACCACAACAGGGCACTGAGAGACAGGAAAGGTAAGTATATAAATGCTTTGCTTGATTCTGATTGGATAACTTCCAATCAGAATTAACAATCACACGTGGGAGATATTTACACCTCCCACTGTGATTATGGTACTATTGCTTTAACGCCGAGAGTCTTGAAGGCTTCAAGGGCTTAAGGAGTCCAAACCCTGGGGTGCAAACCTTTTTTAGTCAGTTTCGTGATTGGAGAAATAATTGATGAAACATTTTTAATAAACCTACGATAATAATTGGCAATCCCTATAAACCGCTGTATAGCCTTAAGTCCTTGGGGAAGAGGCCAAGACAGTATGGCTTCTAACTTAGAAGGATCCATGCTGAATCCCTGTTCAGAAATGACATACCCTAGGAATTGTACAGATTTTTGGTCAAATAAACATTTCTCTAACTTACAATAAAGACCGTTCTGCAACAACCTCTTAAGCACCATCCTCACATGAGTATGGTGTGACTTCAAATCAGGAGAATATACAAGTATGTCGTCAAGGTAGACTACGGCATAGATGTGCAGTAGATCTCTAAGGACATCATTTATGAGGTCCTGAAACACAGCAGGAGCATTACACAGTCCAAAAGGCATGACTAGATACTCGTAATGCCCACTGCGTGTATTGAACGCTGTTTTCCATTCATCATTTTCTTTTATACGAACCAGATTATAAGCCCCCCTGAGGTCTAGTTTAGTAAAATATTTAGAACCTTTAACACGATCAAACAACTCAGTAATGAGAGGGATAGGATAAGCGTTTTTAACCGTTATATTGTTCAGACCCCTGTAGTCTATACATGGCCTCAAATCGCCCTCTTTCTTGGCAACGAAAAAGAAACCAGCACCAGCTGGAGAGGAGGACCTTCTGATAAAACCTTTACGTAAGGATTCTCGTATGTATTCCTCCATGACATGATTTTCTTTCTCAGAAAGCGGGTAGACCTTACCCCTAGGGGGCATAGTACCTGGTAACAGGTCTATGGCACAGTCATAATTGCGGTGTGGAGGTAGCTTATCAGCCTCCCTTTTTTCAAAAACTAATGCGAGGTCTGCATACGCAGAAGGGATAGAAACAGAAAGTGGTTTAGCTGTGGGCACATTGAGTAAACAAACAGAACGTATACGGGCCATACAGTCTCATTGACAAGATTCCCCCCAGGAGAGTATATCTAAACAACCCCAATCAAGTACTGGGTTGTGTTTAACTAACCAGGGAAAACCCAGAACGATGGAAGCTGTAGGGGAGTTAATTATTTGGAAGGATAACCTTTCCCTATGCAAGGCACCCACCGTCATAACCATTTCTTGGGTTTCATGGGTCACCAGAGGTTTTTCAAGTGGTCTACCATCTATGGCCTCAACGGCCAAGGGTGTGGCCTTTTGGATCAGAGTCAAGGCTGCTGTTTTAGCAAAGTTCTCATCCATAAGGTTGTCTGCAGCACCTGAATCGATTAAGGCTTTGGTTGTTATAGTGGTTTGATTGACCAAAAGAGTAACCGTAATAAACGGTCTGGAGATGGACACATGAGGGGAAAAAGTCATAACATCCGAGGCCGACCCGTCTCTAGGCCTTAGGTGCTGAGGTTTCCCTGCAAATTAGGACAGTTTCTTCGGAGATGCCCCCTCTTTCCACAATAAAGGCATAACCCCTCCCTTCTGCGATACGTTCTTTCAGCTTCAGTTAACCCTATAGCACCCAATTGCATGGGTTCGGGAGATGGTTGATTAGGGGGAGGTAACGCTAGTAAAGCAGTACTGGGTAAAGCAGGTGGCCCCTGTGTATTCAACCTTCTTTTGTGACTGATCAGTGTAAATAATATGACAATTTTCTATAGATGTACAATCTGCTTAATTGTTTTTAAAATCATTATCAAGTTTGACAGACCCTTAACATAGTTTCAGTAAACTTCTATAATTGGCTTAATCTAAATGCAAGCTTCAACATATATCAAAGAAAGGATTTAAATGCAGTCTGAATCTGGTTTATAGTGACCACATTCTAAGTCACTAAACTAAACCAGACCACTTAAACTTAATGAAGTGACCTGGGTGCAGTTGTTCTGTCATTTTAACCCTTTCCTTTAAAACACTGCCATTTTGTTGAAACAGCAATGTTTACATGAAATGGTTAAATGCATCTCTAGTGGCCATTCTCCTGACAACCACTATAGGCGCTTCTAGCTCCATAGTTGAGTTAAACTTGGCTATTTAATCAGATAGTCTCACAGACCAATTGGATGATATAGTGTTGTGTTTTGCCGTGCATGCGCACTAGCCCCCCAATGTTTCCCTATGTGTAAACATTCTATTGGCTGAAATCATCAACAAGACTGAAGACAACAAGACCAGCTCAGCAAGTAAGTAAAGGTAAATAATACTTTTTAAACCCTCACAGCTAAGGGTTGTCACGATTCGGAAACCTAACACGCTAACAGGTCACAGAGAGGAAAGGTGCTATACCGGTCCTTAGGGTGGCCGGGTTAAAGCACACTAAGAATAGTCAGGAGACAAGCCAAGTAAAGGGAGCCAGAAAACAGGAGAACGAGAAACAAGCCGAGGTCAAAGGAATGGAGAATACAGGAGAATCGAATAAACAAGCCAAATAATCGGTAACCAGAGAGAAACACGAGCAAACTGCAATACAGGTATCACAAGACCACAACAGGGCACTGAGAGACAGGAAAGGTAAGTATATAACAGCTGTGCTTAATTCTGATTGGATAACTTCCAATCAGAATTAACAATCACACGTGGGAGATATCTACACCTCCCACTGTGATTATGGTACTGTTGCTTTAACGCCGGGTCACGTGACTGACCCCGGCGTTCGCATAAATGCGCGGACTCCCAGCGAGCAGCGTTATACATGCTGCTGCTGGGAGGCGAGGAGGAGGACGCGAGCGGTGCGTATGGCAGTGAGGACGCCGCTCACCGACAGGTAGGGGAAGGGGAGACCGCGGGCCTGACAGTGTCAGCTCAGTATAAAAGTTGGGTGATGCAGTAAGACAATGATTTTAAACATAAAAAAAAATCCACTACAGAATGGCTTCAACAAAATAAAATCTGCCTTTTAGAGTGGACCAGTAGAGACCCTAACCCCATAGAGATGCTGTTGAATGACCTCAAGAGAGCTCAGACCCTAACCCTATGGAGATGAAGTTGAATGACCTCAAGAGAGCTGTTCACACTAGACATCCGAAGAATATTGCTGACTTGTAGCAGTTCTGTAAGGAGGACTGGTCTAAAATTCCTTTTGACTATTGTGCAGGTCTAATCCGCAGTTACCGGAAACGCTTGATTGAGGTTATTGCTGCCAAAGGAGGATCAACTAGCTATTAAATTCAAGTTTTCACTTACTTTTTCGACAGCACTGTAAATATTTAATGGGATGTGTTCAATAACGTCATGAAAGATTATAATTATTTGTGTGTTGTTAGTTTAAGCACATTGTGTTTGTCTTTACTTGTGGCTCTGATGAAGACGAGATGACATTTTATAAACATTCAAATTACAAATTTCAAATACTTCTACTTGCCGTCATATATATCTGTTTGTAATATATTGTGTATCAGTATAGTGAGTGTTTGCAGCTATGTAAATTCCTGCACGATTAAAGTTAATGTTAGAGTGGGTAGGGTAAAGGGAGGGCTTATGGTTTGAGAGAGGTTAACGTTAGTTAACCTAGGGTGCTTAGTGTTAAAAGAATTGCAAGATTAAGAGTATTTATAGTTGTGGTATAAGGTTTTTTTTAGAATTATTCTGTTACGGGTGACGGGGCCTGACCGCCGAGCTGGTTGCATTGGCTCCCGAGCATCTAACTGCTTATTGCCCCAAAATCGTTACTTCCAGCCAATACCTGACTTCCTGCTTGTGACTGGCAACTCTTGGGCATCCCTTGGAGCAAAGCAAACACTGCCCAACTATATGCCCACGCTGACTGGCGGTCGAAACCTGCTGCCTACTCCACAGACGGAATGGGAGAAGCGGACAATCATCCGATCCTGATCTGGAGGGGCCATTCTTGGATACAGACGGCACCCGTATTCCTGCCCATGTGGTCCGGTGGTGGTTATCCTGGACCCCAACAAGGAATCTCAGCCCTCTTGCACCAGCAAGGCAGTACAACTACCGCAAGCTAGAAATTTTGCAGAGGTTCCAAGATGGCAGCCGCTAAGGAGACATCGTGGGGTGGAGTAGCAGAGGTCACTGCACCAAGTTACCATACCTGCTTAACCACAACCTTTGATGACCCAGCTCGACACCAGGTGAACCCTGGAGATGCTAAACCCTGTGTCCCTCAAGTACCCTTGTGGGAAATCAAATTCAACATGGCGTTTAAGGCAGTCTACATGGCCTTCTGGGCCCGAATTGAGGCCCGTCACTTACCTTACCTACTCCTGGGGTGGACCTCCAGCGTAGACCTGATGCACTAGTCTTCTTCTGAGCCGAGAGTGTGGATGGACAACCATGTGAGCCTGTCGGTGATGGGGGATTTCTACAGGGGAATCGCCCTTCCACTGAAGACAGAGAGCCTAGTGGTGAAGAGGTATGGGCTTACATACGGGCCCGGGCTCATGGGGCGGAGGAGAGTTCAACATCACTTTCTTGTCACACACAAAAAAAAGATTATGTTTGCCTCATACATGAATCTCCATATATTTCATAACTAGATTAACTCCCTTTTAAACATTAATACAGTGGAATTACTATACTATTTGAGTTGAGCTCTTTGTGAAGTTTAAATCGCAAAAATAAATAATAAAAAAACTAAATATTCCTAAACATAAGATTAACTTCAAGATGGAAATGGGGAATTTTCGTTTTTAATAATTATCATTGCTGGGTTAGTATTAGTTCAGGTATTAGGATTTATAACATAGGAACTATGCCATGGTTTGTTAGTTTTCTAAGAATGGGTTTCTATTAGTTTTAGTAATCGAACCATTTTGTCCATACATTATTATAAGAAGCAATATTATTATCTTTGAAATAAACCGCCTTTTCCATTAGACGTTGGTATTGGATCTGGGTTTTAATCTCTGTTATGGAGGAAGGTATGTTCTGTTTCCACTTTCTGGCAATACATAGTTTAACAGCCATCAAGACATGTATGGTCAAGTACTGAGATGATTTATCCATTTTTGGCAAGTCTTGGTGGAATAAAAATCTTTCTGGAGATAGAACAATATTCAATTTTAGAGCAACAAAAAGTTTAGATCCTTCTGATTTAAGAGTGTCCAAACCAATACAATCCCACCAAATATGTTTAAGTGAGCCACGTTCATTATTGCAATGCCAACAGACATTTGAGGAGTTTGTTTGAAATTTACATGTTTTCATAGGGACTGTAACGGACCGTTTTGCACACAAGGGGTAAAAACCGTTTAGGCGATCGGCCCCCTTTCCAGAGATACAGGCACAGCTACTGCAGAACACCAAACGAACTGGATACGACTCCCGAACTGGAACCTCCCAAATAGCTGCTTCAGCTTACACTCCTGGCAATCAGTCTCTAACAGCATACAGTGGAACGAGACAAGGCTCCGTGTTGAGGGTCAAGCAGTGGTCTGAGGTGCTGGCACACCCAGCCTGGTTTTTATTACAGTCTTGCAAATACAGGACCGCCCACAGGGAGGTATAAAACAACCAATCACATCACAGTTACATCCCACATATTTCCTCCCCTTATCCTGAGAGGAAACTCAATTATACATACAGTTAAAACATACTTTCTACCCAACTTTCATAACTCCAAAACCATACATCACATTCACATAAAATTACATATTCACAATCAATCCATTCAGGGGAACAACATATTTAAAAATGGCATGAATCCGACCAGGGGTTCAAAAGTTAGTAAAAGTATCTTTTGGCCCTGGCTGGCACATGGGTATCTGGCTCAAACAGGTTTTACAGAGCCCTCTATCCTGGAGACAATGGGGGAAAGTAATCCAATTATCCAGGGATAGAGGCAGACTCCATTGAGCACATGGGGACACAAAGACAGTAAAACACTTTAAAATACATCAGGTAAGACACCTTACATTAAAACTATACATTTAACTTATCCCCAGATAGCTCAGGTCTGAGCGCACATTATTAAGTGAATGATGCTCAGACCACACAAATACAGTTTAATCGCCATGGAGCCAAAGTCTTTACAGTCAGTTTCATATGAATGGGCTCCATGGGATTCCTATCTGGGGTATAACACATTCAAACAAATCTACCGAACCCCTGCAAGGCACAGCTGTCTGCAGGGAAAAAAGTGTCTTTTAACGCCATACCAAAGGCAGCAGGCGAGCAACCAGGCTTCTCCAATGCAATTGGGAGATTGGTCTCGTGCAGGGACACTACCATCTTGGATAAGTTTGAGAAATGTTTCTTGTATATTTATACAATGCATGTCAGCCAGATTAGCAGAAGGAGGCCTATCTTTCCCGAACATATTCTATACTCATGATACGGTAATGTTTTCACACTATTTAGAATGGGGAAACAATAAATGAAAGTGGAAAGCATGGTATATATATATGAAA